GAGACGGGCAAGAGGAGGAGGAGGACAAAGAGTTGAAAAAAGGAAAAGAAAAAAGGTTAAAAGCTGGCGGGAGAAGGAGTAACAGCAAAAGAAGGTGACGGGTGGGAGCAGAAAAATAAAGAGTGCAAGGCAGCGGCGGCGAAAAACTCTCAAGCTCCTTCCTAATGCTGCCGCCCCCCGATCCCACGCCGCCCCTGCTCTCAACAACTGCTCTCTCGCTCCCTCTTGCACTGTGCGTTTCTTTGTAAGATGTGTGTGTTGCGTGTGTGTGCGTGTGGGTGAATGCATTTGCATGCACATGCACGCTCCCATGCGTATGAGTGTGTGTGTGCATGGATTTATGAATGTGTTAGGGACAAAAATACAAAAATGTGTATATATTACAGCTACATTAGCGCACACTTCCCTCGTCGCCGAAGCGGGTGGTTCCAATTGCCGGCTCCAATTTCAGATTTCCATCCAATCGCATATGTATACTACGGAACGGTACAATATTTTGATTTCCATTTGCGTTTTCGGGTGGAAAGTGCCCATTTTCCAGGGCCCTCCCTCCCTTCGGTGGGAGAATCATCTGGTGGGGATTTCATTTATTAAAGTACTTAATCTTTATGATATATGGCCTTTTACTATATTTACTGATCACAATCGATCTCCGATCGTGGGATAAGCCTTGCACCGATCCATAGATTCCATTTCACAATCTTCCCTTCGACTTTCTTTTACCAAAAGCAGTTTTTATTATTACATATTTCAGTTTTTAGTATGGTGGTGGGACTCGTGTCTTTTTTATTATTATTATAATTCTTATTGTTGTCTGTTTTTTGCCGTCTTCGCTCCGTGGGAAACGGAAATTGCCACACACCGAAAAAAAAACCTGTCCGTCGTTTCACTTTCTGTTTTGCCTCGAAGGCATCCTCTCCTCCTCACGTCACGTCACGTCCCTCCGCTCCACGCCACGCCACGCCACTCCACTCCGCTTCACTCCAACATTATCCATTATCCACTCTCCGCTCCCAAAAGGTTGTTAACAAATTATAAATAACAAACGAAATGAAAGAAACACAGTCCAACGTTTCTTTACATAAATAATTTCATGTAATTAAACTTTTATGGCGCTTCCAACTTTGATGGGTGCCCCGTTTCGTTCCGCCCTCCCCCCTCCTCGAGCAGTGTCCCATTTCCCAATTGTTGCCATAAACGGAACAAACGAATGGAATGGACTTCCAATTGGATTGCGCGTTTCGAAAGTCTGTGACCAAATACCAATTAGAATCGCGGGTAAAAAGATATCGCGTATCGGAGAGAACGATAGGGGTAAAACCCCTGAAGGCAGTCCACTAATTGTTGTTTCTGTAGCCCCAAATAGGGGAAATATATTTCTGAAATTATCTACCACAATATGGCACGGGTATATACATACGTATAAATTCGAAACAAAATGGGGCATATGTAGGTTTGCCTCAAGGCGGATGTCAATTGGGTTCCATAAATGCAGCGACACTCAAAGGGAAAGCGATTACACATGTCCATTAGATTCGATACCCCGCGTTTTCCCCACTGATGATTACTCGAATGAATTACCATCAATTGCAGTCGAAGAAATTGATGACTTGGATACCCCCACTGATGTGACTTCCTAAGGCAATTGGAAAGAAATGGAGAAACCTCTCTCTGACCCCTCTCCACCCTCCACCCTCAACCTTCCACCCGGTGGTCAATATTGTCATTGGCCATTGACATGCCATCCCACCCTATCTTCTCTATTGCTTCAACATTCCACTCTTCGATGAGAGGCGCTACCGCTACCGGTACCGGTACCGGTACCGCTACCCACTCCAATCCAATCCGGTCCAAATCGGAGCACTCCTCCACAGCGCTGGCATCCACCCCGATGTGGCTGGCAATTATCAGGCGACTGCAGCGGCGGCGACCAAGTCAAGTGCCCCACAAACTCATTGGCATTTTAGCATCCAAGAGGCTTTCAAGTTTTCCATGTGCATATCGTTTAAAAAAAAAAGAAGCAAAACCAGCAAATGAACTGAACGTGCGTGGTCGTTTGAATTGTCTTTGGTGCCCATATGTTGGTCGTGTTGGTCGTGGCTAAAAATACCCTCACTTTCGGGGTGGGCTATGGACCTTTGGAGGGCGCTCCATCTCGGAGGAAGAGCTCTCCACTAAAATGAGTTGTATCTCTGGCATTAGCTGAGCCAAGAATGATTGGGTAGAGGATGCATTCCTGGAAGAGTGAAGCCTCTTTAAAGTATACGAAATCCCCATCAAATCCATCTGATGGTATGGTTCTATGCATTCTACCGCATTCCAACATTCCTACCACCTAGTTCCCTCCTCTTCCGCCTTCTACTGTAGGGTATTAAAGTTTCGTCATGCCTTAAACAGCAATTTCTTATTTATGGTTTTCTTGTATTACACATTTTATTATTATATTTCTCTCTTTCGCTCCGCTCTTCCCCTCTGCTTGGCAAGCTTCGTTCCCATTTTGTTTTTTTTTTTTTTGTTCTTTTTTGGGCTTTAGGCCAGGCCGAGACGCTGGCTTAGTCGTTGCTGTTGTTGTTGTTGCTTCTTTTTCAAGGCAACAACATGACGATGACTTCATCTTCAGTGCCCCCATACGTCGTTGTCGGCGTCTGCCGTGCTTTTGTTGTTTGGAGAGTGTTCTGTGGATTGTGTGTTGGTGTTGCATTGTGTTGGAGCTTTACGATGGTGTGTTGGTGTACAGCTGTTCTTCGACGAAGAATAATAGTGATGTTGGTTATATTGTTCAGGGTGCAGATTGGTACTGTTGACGCTATTGTATGGTGTTGGTGTTGTTTTTGTTTTTGGTGCGGAAAGGAGCTGTTGTTGGATTTGATGGTGTTATTCCGATTTATTGGTGTGCACTGGTTTTTTTGTACGTTGTTGAGGGATTTCAATAGTGTTGTTGTATGTTATTAAATGTGTGCCATGGTGTTGGTGTGCATACGTGTTGGTGAATGTTGTTGAGAGTGTGCATAGGTGTTGTACCGCTGTTAAGGGCTTTCATTGTTGCTTGTGTATGTTGTCAGAGGTGTGAATTGGTGTTGGAGTTTTGTTGAAAGTTTTGATATACTGTTGGTAAGTTGTTGTGACTGTCTATTGAAGTTGGTGTTGATAAAATTAATTGGTGTTGGTCTTTTTGTTGGTGTATGGTTATTTCTATAGTTGTTGGTGTGATTTTATCGTTGGTGAGTGTTGTTGTTGGTGTAAATTTGTGTGTTGTCTTTGCTTTTGTGGTTTGTTGCTGTGTTTATGCAGTTTCTGTCGTTCCCTTGCGTTCTTGCCACACTCCCCTTCCCCTTCATGACAAAAAAACAACGACGATGGTGATAGTGGGTCTGATGATGGAAGCATTTTCCTTGTTTTCTGATTGTTGTTGCTTGTGTATTTCTCGTGTGATATGTGTGTCACATCATCATTATCCACGCCGAAGAAACATTGTCGGACGAGAAGGAGGAGAGTAAAAGTGTATGCAAAGTTGAGTCATTGTCATCGTCATGGTCATCATTCAACCATCATCATAATCATCAGCCGCTGGTGGCGACCAGGAGTGACGACTCGACCACGAACTGGTCTGATGGTGACATCAAATTGATTATTGTATGCCTTTACCCCATCATTCACTCTCTCTCTCTCTATCTCGTTCTCTCTTTCTCTTTCCACTCTTTTTTCTCTATCTTCTTTGTTGTTTTATTGTTCACGTCCATGCCGGAAATGTCCCGACACCATCCCCAACAATAAACAGCGAAGCGAAGACCAACCCAAACCCGAAACCCAAACAGTATACGCAAATGTACAGTGAAACGCAGCCTAGATGGACGAGAAGGCTTCTCTGTAACATACATATGTGTGCATGTATTTCTGGGGGATTGTGGGGGACCGGTCACTGTGCATCGTACTTCCCACCGTTTCCGCATTGTCTATATGTACATATGTTGGGGCCCCCGTTTTTCGGTAGTTTTTTTGGGTCAGGCTAAAAGCAGAAAACCATTATTTGCTGGGCGCTTGGGTCTCGACCAAGTTTCCGTAGACAATATTTGCTTTGTTGCACACGTATTCCCTGGAGGAGAGGAGATGCTTTTGGCCACAGCATTTCGCTCCGAAGAACAGGTTGTGTGCGGCTGAAAGATCTGTATCTCTTAAACTGCGGACTTTTTGCCTCTGCCTGGTACACGGACTTTTATGGGGAACACTGACATTTTTCTGGCGGGTGAAGTGTGGCAGAGGCGGAGCATGAGGTCAGAATGGAGATGGTGACTTGAACTCTATGGATCGCTGCACTTTTGGGCGTCTGCTACAAGCGATGAAAGCCCTAAGGCTTCTGGAGAACAACACCAGATATCATTTATAGGATGTAACTGCAGGCGTCGATTCGTTTTTTTTTTGTATCCCATAACCATTAATAATAAATAGCATCCTCGGATGGGAACCCGAACACTTATGAAATGCCACTTTTCTGCACAAGGAAGTCGTCTAATGGCACGGCGTCATGTGGCGCGACTCCCACTGCTGCATCGCTGATGGACTGGCCGTTATTGATTAACGGTTTTGTAATTAATGGCCACTTTTAATTTTGCCGTTGCAGCAGCTGCGGAACAATGCAACAATGTGAGACGGGACAGCAGCGAGAGACGAAGCAGAAGCAGCAGCAGCAGCAGCAGCAGCGAACCCCATACACCAGCAGTAGCAGCAGCCCCACCAGTCCCCATCCTCAGCCGCCTAGCAAGGACTGCAACGCCAACGCCAACGCCAACGCCAGCGATCACGCCTACGCCTACACCTACGCAAGCGTCTGCTGAGGCAGCAGCTGCAGCAGAGAGGAGCGGAAAGCGAGGAGGGCAAAGCAAGCTGACAAGAAGAGCGACAGACTGACACGCGGAAGAGTGAGAGTGAGGTTGAGAGCGAGAGTGAGAGTGAGAGAGTCACGGGAGAGAGACACGTCGGGTAGGTAGGCCAAGGCCGAGGCCATGCCCAGCACAGCCGGCAGCGCTGCTAGCGTCGGAGCTTTGATCAACAGCGCCGGCAGCAGCGCCAGCGTCATGGGCATCGGTGCGGGCGGCGGCAGTGGCGTGGGCACAGGTGTGGCTGCTGCTGCCGCTGCCGAGGTGGGAGCCGGTGCTGCAGCCGCCGCCTCAGCGGGCACCCTGATAGCGCAGAGCACGGCGGGTACGAGCGCCGCCAGCGGCACGATCACGTGGGACAACAACGGCACCCTGCGCTCCATTAATCCCGGTGACTGGTCCATCGAGCAGTGCCTCAACTGGCAGCAGCCGCACCACCTCTACTTTCAGCTCGGCTGGGCCTTCCTCTTTCTGGCCTTCCTGGCCCCTCACGGCCCCTTCGGCTCGCTGTGGATGCGGGCGATGCTGCTGATCGGCTGCATCATGATGGGGATGTACGGCTATCTGGTGGAGTGCACCCCGGATGTGGTCCTCTGGTCAGGCCTTGGCATCGGCGTCAATTTCATCTATCTCATTGTGGTGCTCTGTCGACTGCGACCCGTGCGCTTTGAGCAGGAGATTGAGGCGGTAAGTGCAATCAACCCACATGCCCCATGCAAAATACATACATACTTATATTTTCCAAAAAGTAGGCTATGTATAAGGGAGATAGTCTGAAGAGACTTACGGTAAAAGCTCTCACGAGAGAGAGAGACGGAGAGAGAGTACTGCTGCTGCGGCTAACTCTGCTCCGCTGCTGCTGTCTTTCTGAAGTACTTTCCAAACGGGACAGCGGCAGCAGATCCAGAGAGAGAGAGAGAGAGAGAGAGAGAGCCGAAAAGTTTTTGCATTGCCTGCTGCCTCGTTTAGACGGCCTCCGTTTCAAGATTACTCCCACAGCATTGACTCTCTCTCTCTCTCTCTCTCTCTCGCTTACTTGTTCTTGTGATGTTTTCTTACCCCCGCCTAAAAGCATGCAATACCCTTTTAACGCTAAACACTTGAGAAGAAAGCCGAAGTTTCCCTTATTATTTTATAGAAAATGTAAAATTATATTCACTAAGTATTTGTTTGCTCTGTGTTTGTGTGTATGGGTGTGTCCTTGTTTATTGGCTAACGCGGCTATCGAAAAAATGTCTAGTGGGTTCATCTTGTAACTGTGTGTGTGGGGGTGGGTGGTAGTCCTCTTGTTTCTCTTTGTGCGTTTTAAGTGCAATTTGAAATGATTAAAGGATTTATAAATTCTTGGATGCCAGAACAGATGATCTTCCGGTGCTGAACGCTCTGCTCCTCTCCTCTCTATATTCAGAGTTTCGTGTATATATTTCTCTGTTCGAGTTCGATGTCGGATTCGAGTGCTTTGATATATCTAATCTATCCATGCAATCCGGAGTCCGCTGCTGCCGCACACGGCGAGTGCAGGTCCTCTCCCTGCCCTCTCCCCTCCCCGGTTTCCCTTCGGTGGGTGGACATTTTTGCATATATTCGCGCTTTTATTTCTGCGTTTGCTGCACCTCTCTCGCTCTCTTACTATTTTGTCTTGATATTTTCTTGGCGCCGCCTGAAAGACTGCAATAGACAGCAGACAAAAGAAAGCCGCAAGTCGGATTTTCCCCCATTAAATTTTAGGTCATATTCCGGCCGATCTACGAGTTTTCTCATCCCCCCTCCCCTCCCAGAAACCTATCGAAGGAAAACAATTATATCTTTATTTTAAGCACACTTTCAAGTGGTTTGAATATTTTTATTTATTGATTTTGTATTATTATTTTTTTATTCGATTTTTGCCCTTCTTGGTGTTTTTTTCTTTTTATTTTTTATGTTGGGTTTTTATTTTATGTATAATTAAAGAACTAAATTCACTAAGTATTTGTTTGCTTTCTCAATTAAAGCAGCTAAATATTATAGTTTCGATGGATTAATAAATAACCAAAAAAAAGGGTTGGGGGGGAAATAATAAAAAATGGAAGTGTGGTGGGAAGAGACGTTGCTTTCGGTATAATTAATTATCAATAGGCTAATAATTAATAACTGTGTGTGTGTGTATGGGTGTGTGTTTGTTTATTGGCTAACGCGGCTATCGGCTAAATGTTTTGTGAGTTGTCTTGTGAATGTGTGTGTGTGTGTGTGTGGGGGGGGGGGTGGGGTAAGTTTTTATCACAGGAAAATCAGATTGGAAAATCGCAGAAAATACTCGTTTAGTTTTTGTTTGTGGGTTTTTTGTGCGTTTTAAAAAATTATTTTGTGTGATGGCGAATGACTTTTGAATGTGGAATTTAATCGTTGAACATTTAAATACAATCGAGAGAATGCGTGGCGTGGCGTGTGTGGTCGTGCATTTTGAAATGATTTGAATGATTCTTTAGACTCTAGGATAAATTTATAAATTCTTGGATGCCAGAACAGATGATCTTTCGGTGCCGAACACTCCACTCTGCTCTGCTCATCTCCTCTCTTGTTGTGTGTGCAGCTGTGCCCTAGCTAAGATGTATTTTCGATGCCAGAAAATACAATTGCAGACACGTGGCCAGCATGACGGTCATGTTGCCAATGGCAATGGTCATGTGGATGCGACGGAAGCCTTTGTGGACGCGCTGATAGTGCGGACAGTCGATCAGATCGCCTTGGACAAGGCTGCCCACCTCCTGGCCACTGCCGATGGCGTCCTCGATCTTGTACTTCTCGTGCATCAGCTTCAGCATCGGCGGCACCAGATACAGTCGCACCACCACCTCAATGCCCGCCGCCAGCGCCAGCGATCCGACCTGGATGCCCGACGCCGTCGTCCAGCCACTAAGGAAGTACTTTGCATAGGTCACCAGCATCGTGAGACTGAGCACGGCGTTGAAGGCAAAGTACCGGGGGAACAGGATCTGCTGGCACTGCCCGAAGATGTGGCGCGGCAGGGAGAAGTACAGCGAGAGGCCTGTGTGCGAGGAAAAAGATTAGGGAATTATTAAAACGAGCTCCACTCGGGGAACGCTCAAAAGGGGACTAAGATTTGGCGTTGGATGGAGCGCTGATAGGTTGATGGATTTGGATGGATCCCCTGAGCCTTGAGAGCAGAACTTACCCGAGACGAATGTCATCCAGATCTGCGAACCAAAGTGAGTGGCGAATGCCCCCAGATAGACGAGGTTCGGCAGCGTGCCGCTACCTCCTCCGCCTCCGGTTGAGCTGCTGCTGCTCAGAGTTCTCGTCGTTGTTGTTGGTGTCGTTGCGGGGCTACCCTCGATCAGGTCGCGTCCGACAGTCATCAGCACAAAGACCAAGATGCAGACAGCTATCAAGTGTGCTGGCTGTGTGGTACGCGTCAGTATTCTGTGCGGATAAAAGAAGATCGAAACTAAAGTTAGTTGAACACTAAAGCTGTTATCAATTGAATGATTAATCGATGAATGCGCCCCCCCCCCCTGTTCGAGTTCGATGTCGAATTCGAGTGCTTTGATCTATCTAATCTGAATAAGTTATAGCCATGCCATGCAATCCGGAGTCCGGAGTGCAGGTCCAAGCTCCAAACCCTTGAAGCCATGGTGTTGTAACTCTTTTCCGAGACACTTGCTTCTGTCACCGACTGTACGTAAAGGCTGGAAAAATAACTCTTGAAAGAATATTCAGCGTTTGTCTCTCTCCCGCTCTCGCGCTCTCTGGTTACGTTACGTATGCACACACGTGGCCCTCACGATTAGATTCGATTGCAGCGAACTTTCGCACAAGAGAGCGGGGGAGGGAGAGCGCACGATCCGATCGCACGCTAATAAATTATCTCTGTCTCTTGCGTCGTCGTCGACGTCAAATGGGTGTGAGCTGCTGTCTGTGTGTGTGTGTCCGTTTACGCATTTGTTGCGTGGTCTGTCTGCTTCTATGTGTGCCTACCCTACCTCTCCTCTCCTCTCCGTCGTTACCCTTCGGTGGGTGCACATTTTTGCATATATTCGCGCTTTTATTTCTGCTTTGCTCTACTCTGCTTCTGCGGCGAATGTAGAGCTTTAACCATAGAATGGCGTACGTGCGAAAACGCATGCAACCAAATAATGAATTTTTTCCACTTCCCCTCAACTAAAGTTCCCCCCTCCCACCCCACAAGCCACACCATCCATACCACACCGTCGGTCATGGCGGGAGGGGGACAGAGTGAAGCCATAACTTAAGCAACAAATTGCCAATCTACATAACTGTAGATAATCTTGCACTTGCACCTTTAAGGCGAATCCAGAGAACAGAGCGAATTTAGAGAATCAGCTGTGCGGCGTGCCGTTCAGCTGATAAAAATCCAGAAACAGAAGCAAAAGTAGAATATTGAGGGAGGGAGGCGGGGCAACGGAACGTAACTGACTCAGCAACAGAGCCAATGACAAGAAAAGAGAGTGAGCGCAGAGCCGACGACGAAGACGAAGACGACGGCGATCCCACAGTACCGCACTACCTCTCTCTCTCTCTCTACTGTGACGTCGCCACAGAAATCAGACTTTGATCGAGAGTGACGGATAGAGAGAGGAGGGAGGAATGGGGGCACCCGTTCGAGTGGAATAGGGAACTCGGGAACTCTGTTGACGTTGACGCTACAGCAGCGCACTTTGCCCATACGCAACAATTTCAGTGTCAAGGTGTGAGGGAGGGAACTCTATTGACTCTTCATTTCGTCAGGGATCCCCGGCAGCAGATAAGCTCTGACCCACCCAACTGCCGCCCGCCCCCCCTAAAAAAGCTGACTCAACGGACAAGGCTATAAGCTCCGATAGTATTTTATCGTATCTATAAATACTCTTACTCGTGCTCGCTTCTCCAATTATATTTAGTAATACGTTTTTGATAAGTGAGACTCCAAATGAATCACCTGCAAGAACTGGTTTCTTTTTTGTGCGGGACAGAAAAGCAGGTTGCATTGGGTTAGGTTATGGCCCTGTCATTGGGCCTTCGAAGGGAAGTGACGTTCTAGTGCGATTTAAATTGAATTTCATGTTTCTTTAAGCTTTAAACATCGTCTGACAGAGGTCTAGCTTTCAGTTGTTTGCATAACCGTTTAGTGTCCAGAAAGCAACAGCTGACAACAACAGGTAATACAGAGTATATGCAAATTAAACAACTGCGGTAGCGGATTGTGTTTTTAAAAAGTTTTTATTTTACTTCGAACTTCACTGATATAGATTTAAGTAGAGGGTCACAAAGGAATTCCGGGCCAAGGGATTGCGCGATCTTAATATTTAGCTAGACTTTGCGGTGTCGCTGCTGGATCAAGACTGATTTGAACTTTCTGATCTTTGCATCGTTGATCCCTTTCGGGAATCGTTTTTCTATAAACATTTCAATTGATTTCGCCATCCCGAGTATTAGATTTCGTCATCCAAAGAGAGAACTGTAAAAGGCCTAAAGTGCAGGATCTGCAGAAAGCCGGGAGTGAGATTGTTTATGAGAAGCCGGGTGTGGGCAAACATTGGTTTTCCATTTAGGCGAGTGTCAAAGAATGGGATTGCGGCGGGGGCGCTTGAGATTGTACATCTTAGAAATCAATTAGGCGGAGGCCCAAGATTGAAATTGTTTTCGTTTTGGAAAACCAAAGATTGTTTACAACTCGTATAAGAGCTCAATGGAATTGGGTACGTTAACTCCCCCCATTCTTAAATGTTTCGTCCCGATACATTTTGAAGTTCTGATAGAGCTCTAATTTCTTCTGACAGTATTTGAATGTTGCTTTCCACTATTTCTTCTGACGGTATTCTTATTGATTTAATAAGTACAAATTTGGTTAATTTATAGCAGAAGTAAAATAACATTAACAATATCAAAATGATTAAAAATAATGTTGTTAATGGTAAGGCCGTATTACCTAATGTTATAAGGGGATTTAAAATATTAACATTATCAAAAGAAAATTGCTTATCATTTGATTGTATATAATCAACTAATTCAAAATCGCTATATCTATGATGCGATATATATTTTAGAATTTTACCCTTATCATTTATGTGGCTTATATTATTTATTACAATTGTGTTGTTGAATATAAGGAGATACGATCCTAACAAAGTAGTATTGTCTACGATATTTTTGCCTGAAACTAATATGGCACCATCCTGAATGATGTCTATTTCTTTGTTTTTTTTCCCTTTTTTTAGTGCAGTTGGCTTTAAAGCCATTAAGTAAATTGGTGAAACAGGTACTCTTTAAATTTATTTGTGCGTAATTGTTAAAAGTTTCACTTTTAAAATTATTCATTAAATAGTATTTCTCCTTACATTCACAAACTTTTTCACTTATAACTAACATTCCATCATTTTGTGAGATGGCTCTTGCATGGTAAAACTTGCAAATATCTTTAATTTGAGGATATTTTATGTAAATGATTATTAAATCTGCATTTCGAATTATTTTAACCGTTGCAATGTCCAACAGATCAGACAGTTCAACATTATGTTTTTCATGCTTATAAATGTCCTCTATTTCGTTTTTATTTAAAATTTTTGTATTGAAAATGTTTACTTTTAAGAGGGTTATGGTATCAACTAAATTTAGTAGGTCAAAAGTTATTAATTTTAAACGATGCTTTCTCAGTATCGTTTCTTCATTGAAGATGACATTCTTTAATGAATTTGATAGCAATTCAATTTCTTTGAAAAATTTGGAATTTATTACAAATTGTTTATTATTATTTTCAGTTAATTCATTTACTTTATTTTGTATTTTCAAAAAGTCGTCATGATCAGGGCTGCCTGCTATCCATTTCCAAATGGTACCTAATTCATTTATTCCCCTTTCTTTCCGTTTTGGAACTAATTCTGAAATCATTAATTTTAATAGACTTAAGTCCATTGATATTTCCCACTCATCGTCTGAATTAATTGATTTGTTGACATATTTGGATTCTTTATCAATTATCTCTCTATAAAAACTCAAATTAGTAATATGGAAAAGTTCAGCGTATGTTTCATAAGTGTAAACGTCTCTGTCGTCTTTGAGCAATAGATAGTCACTATGCGTATAGTCAATTACTTCCGCAGTCGTCAATATAACAAAAGTCAGTATTAGTATATTCGCATACATTTTCTGGAAAAAATATTTAATATTTGATGTTATCTTTATGTATAATTCTGTTTCTATTGTTGATTATAATTTTATTCGGTCGATTTTCCTTAACTACCTGCTTTTTGTATCGGGATTGAAGTTTATTTCTTTCCCCGAATTTCTTTTCATAGACTACTTCTCCTATTTTATAATCTTTTTCTCTTCTATCTTTGTTATGTATCTTAAGCATTTTGGTCTGAGCTTCCTTAAGTAATATTGGATTATGTTTGTGTTCTATTTTGTTATACAATATGTCATATGGCATTTGATTGGTCGTTGAATGTATCGTCAGGTTATATTTCAGTGCCGCCCTTATTATTATTTCTGAATAATCTGTTAGATTTAGTTCATCCTTGATGCACCGCGCTATTTCTGTTAGTGTGGAATGTACCCTTTCTACCTGACCATTTGAGGTGCTGTGTCTGGGATCAGCATAATAAATAGTTAAGTTACTTCTTTGTATGAATGATCTAAATTGTGCTGAAGTAAAGCTTGGTTCGTTGTCAGTCATTAATGATGTTGCTAACGGAAAGTGTTGTAAAATTTCCATTACCTTATTTTCAATGTTTAATTTACTTTGAATTTCCTTGACCACCAAGTATTTGGAATAAGAATCTATACAAGTTATGAATGTTAGGTTTTGGGCATAGTATATGTCTAAGTGTAATTGATCTCCTTCTTTTGCTGGAATGGGAGCTTCCCCAATTGGAATTTTTACAGGGTGTCTCCGATATTTGTTTTTGTTACAGATCTCACAATTTTTTATATATTCTTTTAATTTTTTGTGCAGGTTTGGCCAATAATACAGCTTAGTTATTTGTTTGTAATTTTCGTCTAGTCCTCTATGGGCTCTGCAATGTGTTTCTTCTATAATTATAGCTTTATCTTCTGAATTTACTACATCTTGGAGGAACTTTCTTGTGAAGAGAAATTTATTTATGAAGTTTTCCTTTAGCTTATTTTGGATAAGGTATAAATCTTCTAAAGTGCAGTGTATTCCTGTGGTTAAGTGAGGCTGAATAAATTCTTTTAAAATGATTAGCAGATTGTCAACCGTATCAAATTCAATAATATGTCGGGTATTTTCATAAACTCTTACTAACTCATGAACTGTGAATCTCCCTTGCGCTAATAGTAGCTGCTGTTTAAATTGGTTTAGAGGCTTGCTAGTCTCTTGAATGACGTTTTCGAAACTACTCTCTGCTGAATGCTGAGTATTTATGTCTGATTCTGATTCTGTCTGGTCGACATCACTATCTGTCATATGATTTATTTTAATCCGAGATAACGCGTCCGCTACTACGTTAGTTGAGCCTGGCTTATAAATGATTTTTGGTGTGAAACTTTCTATGAAGTAATACCAACGTTTCATTTCAACATTTGGATTTTTTTGCGACATTGCAAAGGACAAAGGTTGGTGATCTGTATGTATTTCAATTCCACTCACTCCGTATAAATAATTTCGCAAATTTTTTAATGCCCATACAATAGCTAATAATTCTTTTTTATTAGTAGCATATAATTGCTCGGTTTTACTTAAAGTTTTAGAAATAAATGTTATGGGATTCCCATCTTGCGACAAAACTGCACCTATTGCTATGTCCGATGCATCTGTGGTTAATGTGAATTTTTTATTGTAATCTGGTTGTACTAATTCAATATGTGCTATTAAACTGTCCTTTAAATTATTAAATGCTCCAATTGCTGGTTCATCCAGCTGTATTAATGCTTTCTTGGATGCCCTTCGTGAAACTTTCCCATTTACTCCGCTCAGATATTTTGTTAAAGGTTTGGCAATTGTGGCATAATTTCGGACAAATTTTCTGTAATACCCTGTTAGTCCTAAGAAGCTACGTAGCTCTCTGATATTTTTAGGAATTGGATAGTTTTGTATTGTGGAGATTTTGTCTGGATCTGTTTTAATGATATTTTGGGAAACAATGTATCCCAGAAATTTGGTTTCCAATTGAAAGAATTTAGACTTTTCTAGTGAAATTTTCATGTTAGCGTTTTGCAATATCTGAATTATATGAATTAGATCTTTATAATGTTGTTCTATAGTTTTTGAAAATATTATTATATCGTCCATATAAACGTGACAAGTTTTCCCAACTTGTTCTCTAAGTATATCGTCCATTGCCCTTTGGAAAATTCTGGGAGCGTTCGTCAATCCCATAGGCATTCTTAGAAATTCATATTTGCCGTTATTTATGGAAAAAGATGTTTTTTCAATATCTGATTCCCTCATTAAAATCTGATAGAAACCTGACTCTAAATCAATGGCCGAGAAATATTTTGCTTTACCTAAATTGGCAAGGATTACTGAAGGATCTTGCATAGGGTATCTATCCGGTATAGTGTTTTCATTAAGTTTCTTAAAGTCTATTACTAATCTATGCTTAGGAGTTCCGTCCTTATTTACTCCCTTCTTTGGTACTACTATTACCGGTGAATTATATGGGCTTTTACTAGGTCTGATTATACCTTCATCTAACATTTTACTTATTTCGTTATTAACGAAATCGTTAACCGAATAAGCGTATGGATACTGCTTGCCATATACCGGTCTATCGTGTTCAGTGTTAATCTCTCCTTTTATATCCGTTCTGAACGGTAACTGTAAATTTATATTGGCATGGTCTTCTTCGATGATAGATACCATTTTCTCTCTGAGATTTTCTAAATTGTCCTCTTTGTAGGTTATTGTGTTATACAATTTCATTTTTTTCAATTCAGAATTTGCATAATTTTGAATGTCGGATATTTCTACGACGGCGCGTTCAGGATTTTTGCATCCCAAACTTTTAAATTGTTTATTGTCGGATAATTCAACGACGGCGTGTTCAGGATTCTTTAATCCCAAACTATTCGAACTTTTAGTGTCGGATAATTCAACGACGGCGTGCTCAGGATATTTTAATCCCAAACTATTAAAACTTTGGATGTCGGATAATTCAACGACGGCGGGCTCAGGATATTTGAATCCCAAACTATTGACGGATAATTCTTCGTCGGCGTGCTCAGGATTTTTTGATCCCAAGCTATATAAACTTCCTTCTACCTTTACTGAATCGCTTTTCATTTCTTTTTCTTCTTCAAAATATTTTTTTATTATATATTCCTTCAACGGAAGGATGGTTTTTCCTTCTATAAAGGTTAATTTGTTTAAAGAAAGGACCTCGTCATATATTAGTTTCTCCTCATTGTCTTTATAACTTAAAGTCCCCTTTCCTGTATCAATAACCGCTCCGATTTTCTTTAATAGGTTAAATCCTATTAGTAAATCTGCCTCCATTCCATCTATTTCATAAAACACTTGCTTTGTGTTGAAAATTGTTATATTATGGAAATATTTAATTATTGAAAACCCATTCACTGTAGCAACTTTCTTATAGATTGGTAATTCATTTTTATTGTCGTAAATTCCTTTTTTTATATAACAGGAAGTTGCTCCCGTATCTATCAAAACTTTTAATTCTCTGTTTATTTTTTTGTCTACTCTTTTTAGGTAGGGCAGACCTACTTCGGGGGCTGATCTAAAAAATGATCCTCCTCAATGTTATTTATCCTCATTGCTTTATTAGCCGGTTGTTCCGACATTTCGTTTAGTTTTCGTTTCTGCGCTGGATTGTCGTTAGACTGATTATTCGGGACTACGTTTGCCCTAAAATGCTGGGCTTGGCTATAATTGTTATTATTTCTCCTAAAATAACCGTTAGTATTCTCCCGATAATTTCTATTGTTATTATTTCCCCTGAATTGATTGCTGTTCTGTCGGTTCCGGATTTGTATAGATTCGTCTACCTCCATTGGTTCTGGGGCCTGATTTTGTTGTCTATTACCCAAGAAATAGGGTTGTCCCCAAGACATGTTATTCCTCTGCAAATCCCTTTTTTGGTCGAATGGTGAACTGTTAGTCCTAGGTTGTCGTTGGTTGAATCTTAAGGTATTAAAATTATTATTCCCTGAATTTCTGGGACCGCTGAATTGGTAGGCAAATTGGGCCCGAATGTTATTAGATTGCAATTCCTGTACCTTTGCTAAGGCATTCGGTAAATCTGGGGGATTCAATGAAAATAGGATTTCAGCAATGCCGCCGTTTAGGCCAGTGACAAAAATGCGTAAGGCATTGTCTCTAATTTTTTTATTTGATTCCTTGGTGATCTCACTGTCCTTTCCGTGAGTCATTATTGTCTTATTTATTAACAAGGTCATTTTCTTGTTAACCTCGTTATAGAAATCTATAATTGAAAGGTTCCCTTGTCGGAGAACGCTTAATTCCTGTTCTATTATGTAAATAGGTCTCTTGTCACTGTAAACAAAGTCAAGCCGTGAAAGTATGGCATCAAAATTTAGAACTGTCCCGTGGTTGGTCAGTGCGTCATGTGCTGGTCCTGTTATTTTGTTTCTCAAAATTGTTAATGCAATATAATATTGCTTACTTCCTTTCTTATATAACTTCACTGCAGTTTCTGCAGCTTCCCTCCATCCTACATATTGGTTTAATCCACCATTAAAAATTGGTAGGGATTCTATTACCTTCAATGTGGTGTCGTCTCTTATTGTCTCGTCTATTGTTTCTGCCTGATAATCCGATACCTGATCGGATTTAGTTTCTATTTGCTGTTTTAAATTTACAATTTGCTCTTGTACTTGTGAAATTTGAAGTGCTATCAATTGTTTGACCAGATCTGCTGTGAGATCGGTCCTTGCTTGAGAGTTAATCATTTTTAGTTTTTCAAAATCTAAAGTTAGCTGATCCACTTTTAATTTTTCTTATATGTTAGTTTTTATAATCTTATATATCCTAATTGAACTTATATATTTATTAATACAACTCTTGCTCACGAAATATCCGGTAGGGGTCGTCCTTCTTAGTTTGGCAGATCTTCGAACGGGTCTTCCTTCTTAAATTTCTTTGCTCAGCTGGGTCTTCTGGGGGTCTTCCTTCTTTGGCTTCGCTGATCGTTTCACTTTCTTTGTATTTTGGTTTTGTCGGTTTTGTTGGTTTTGTTTTTTTAAAAACTTTGGGTTTCTTTGGTTTTTTTTGTATTTACGAATTGCCTTGATTAGCTTTTTGTTTTATTTGTATTTTGCGTTGTATTTGTATTTGTATTTGTATTTGTATTTGTATTTGTATTTGTATTTGTTTTTGCACACCCTAAGCTCCGGTTTGTTTCCTTTTTATCTCACTTTTTTTTATCTATATCACACAGTCACTCCGCGTTTTTAATTTTGAAGGATTTATTCCATTAATTAATTGTCCTTCGGGTTTCGGCACGACGCAACACTTTTATCATTCGGTGCTTTTTAGACAACGTCGCCCCACGTTGGGCGCCAATTAAACAACTGCGGTAGCGGATTGTGTTTTTAAAAAGTTTTTATTTTACTTCGAACTTCACTGATATAGATTTAAGTAGAGGGTCACAAAGGAATTCCGGGCCAAGGGATTGCGCGATCTTAATATTTAGCTAGACTTTGCGGTGTCGCTGCTGGATCAAGACTGATTTGAACTTTCTGATCTTTGCATCGTTGATCCCTTTCGGGAATCGTTTTTCTATAAACATTTCAATTGATTTCGCCATCCCGAGTATTAGATTTCGTCATCCAAAGAGAGAACTGTAAAAGGCCTAAAGTGCAGGATCTGCAGAAAGCCGGGAGTGAGATTGTTTATGAGAAGCCGGGTGTGGGCAAACATTGGTTTTCCATTTAGGCGAGTGTCAAAGAATGGGATTGCGGCGGGGGCGCTTGAGATTGTACATCTTAGAAATCAATTAGGCGGAGGCCCAAGATTGAAATTGTTTTCGTTTTGGAAAACCAAAGATTGTTTACAACTCGTATAAGAGCTCAATGGAATTGGGTACGTTAACTTGCACAGAAAAATTCCAAAAGCACTCGGGGAAAATAATGAATAGGCGTGATCGGGCGAGCGGCATGATCCATTACCGTGCAAACGAACGATAAGAGGGATGCCTGGCTACCCTGTCGCCTGCCGCCTGCTGATAATTCCCATTTTTCCGTTGGAATTTGTATGTCACATGGTGAAATGATGATAGATGATGGGTGTGTGCTCGCTTGTGATATTTTGGGGGCTCGTTAACATGGTGGGGTACTCACGTGTACAGTCGACTGCCCTGCAGCTGGGCGACCAAACAGGCGATCCGTTCCGATACCTTGCGCGTCATTTGGGTGCCAATGGCGAGGGCATCGTCCATCGAGGGTTCCATCGAGCTGAGCTTTCGCTGCTGCTGTGCTTTCAGCTGAGAAATATCCTCCACCTGTTGCTGTTGCTCTTGCTGCTGTTGCTGTTGCAGTTTGCGGAAGCGTCCGCACATTTTGGGAATTTTGAAGATCTCACTGTTGTTGTTGCTGCTGCTGCCCTTTGTGTTGTGGGTCTCTGTTAATGTCAGGTTCTCTGCTACTGCCACTGTCACTGCCGCTGTCACAGCCACTGCTGCAGCGCCGCATGTTACTATTTCTGCTTTTGTCTCTGCTGCCTCTGGCTCTGGGTCTGTGTCTGTGTCCACCATTTGTGCTGCCTCTGCTGAGGCCAGCTGCATGGAGGTGATATCGGTTCCGCTATCTTCGCTGTCGCTGTAGTTATTGCTGCTGCTGCCGCTGTCACTGCTGCTGCTCAGCTCCAGCTCTTCCAGGTATTGCTCCTGCTGCTGCTGCCTTTGTCGCAGCTTCTGCTGCTCCTTCTTCTGCAGCTGCTTCTCTCGCTTGCGCATCGTGTACTTCACGCTCTTGACGGCGCGCGAGGGCAAACCGAAGGCCATGTACCGTTCAATCTGCTGCTCGCCTTTTTCAATGCCCGAATTATGGCACATTGTTGCATTGATTTCTTTGTCCCAACGTAATTTGACCGTTAGTTCTTTGCACTCTCTCTCTGTATCTCTATCTGTCTCTGAATGTCTCTTTTTGTGTATTTCGGAAGCACTTTTTCGCACAATCAAAAAATAAAACTGTTTTTTAGTTCGAAATTTACGTGGTGGTTAGTCGAGGTACCGCGGGGGGTGGGATGGTTTAGTGAGTGTGGCCGAAGGGGGAGTGTGAGTGTGTGGTTGGTTGGGTGACGGCAGGCGACGACGTCCACGCGCGTTGAGGTGTGAATGGGGCCGACAGCCATGGCATAAGGTTTTATATACGACGGGGGCCGCCTGACGTTGCCGTTGCCGTCGCCGTCGCTGTGGCTGTCGCTGTCGCTTCGGTTCTTTGCGACGTCGCTGCTTCCTTCTCTGCGGCGCGCTCTCTTGAAAATGCTCTCTCGCCCTCTCTTTGATTACAGTTTTTTGGCTGATCAAGCTCTGCGCTTAAACGGCACTAGCTACGAGAGTGGGAGAGAGTAGCCGCCTCAGAGAGGGAGGTAAAGCGCTCTCCTATTCTCTCTGTCTTTTGCAGTTCCCTTATCACCTGCAGAATCTCAATTAGCGGTTTCTGTCACGCTGCTGTTGTGATCGTTTTGGCATTCGCGTTTTTGGCTCCCGATCCGAATCCGAATCCCGCCCCCCATATAAGCACCTGACAAATGGGACTCTGCGCTTTAATGAGCGCCACATGTGAATAGTTTTTGCGGCTTAACCTTCGTGCCCCACCTCACCCCACACCACCCACTCCACTCCACTCCACCTGCTCCTCTTCCTCTTGCTCTCCATTTCCCAGTTCTCACTTCTTTGCTCTCCCCTCAAGTCTCTGACGTTTGTTGTAGCTTTCCGTTCGCCTGGGCTTTGGAATTTCTACTACAAAAACACATTAAAATCCACAAAAAATTCATTGATTCAGAATTCCACACTGACGTCACAGAGAGAGCGCAATCGAATAGGGGGGGATCTCTTTTGGGGACCCCGATCTGCAATCCGAATCCCCGAATGAGTCGTCCATCGAATTCGTTGAATCGATTCTCACTTTTACGTCGACGGTGGTTTTGTCGGCTGAATCTTTCACCCACCCAAAAAAAACACAAAAACCTATCTCTGACGGATATATCCGTATTAGATATTTTCTAGCGATCTACCAGAAAGCCCTAAAGATCATTCATTAGCAATCGTATTTGCTTTTACTTATATCTTATATCACAATTACTTTGAAGGGCTCTTACTTATCGTTTGAGGCTCGTTTCAAAAGGTTCTTATATGATCTCTCAGAATTGTCTTTGATCTTCCAGTGGGAAAGATCAACCGATTGTTAGGGTTAAAAAAACGCAATGAACGCTTGGAAAGATCACTCTTAGAAGATCTCTAGCTTCTATACGTTCATTGATCAGTAGTCTTTTATCTTCTAAGATTCTGATGATCGTTGATCTCTACATAAACTACATAAACTAACCATTTCTTTAAAAAATTTGTTTGACAGACTGACTGACTGACTGATTGCTTCGTCGGCCATTTTCTGTATACATATTTCAGACATCTTTTTTGGGGCCGCCGTTCGGGACGTGCCCCACATGTCAAGAGAGCTGCTGATCTCCGGCACCGAAATATTGGTAGGGGAGGGAGGCAGGGAACTTTCTATATAGTATCTTCTCATCCGCCACGATTGCGATCGCGTTGATCGAGGGCCCACAATCTGCTCATTATCTAATTGCGGCGACGGGGTCTCCACTCATCACTTCACTCTTTTCCGTTGCCCTCTGGAGCTTTGGCCGGACGTGGATCTTTGTACCAGACGATCAATCGATGTATCCGATCCGTTTATGGCGCTGGGGACTCCTTTTTGTGCATACAAATGTTTGAATTAGTTTCGTTATGGAAGCCCCGATATTCTTTCTCTTTCTCCAATCGATCGCACCGATCCGATCCGATCATCGTGACCATTATAATTTCATTTTAATAATTCAATGGGGGCTCTTCCCTCGATTTCGTGCCCACTCATCGTTGCTAAGGAAGAATCGCTTTCGGCAGGCTTTAGTTCTTCGAATTTTTGGAGACGCAATACCCTCGAAAGAGGCTCCCATCCATCCATCCACCCATCCGTCCACTGATTGACCATGATTTTTGGACTGACTTTTAATCATTTAATCAGATTGTTTATTTGGCAACTTTTTGCTTTGTTTATTTTTATTTTATTTTTTTTTTATCGCAAAGAACCGACCCATGGTGGCGACCCACCGATCCCCTATGGACTTTGATCTCTGACTTTGATGCAAAAGATTCTGACAGTCGATTTTGGCAAGGTTGAAGTGATTCATTTGAATTCATTTGAAATTATTTGCTTACTCATTAGCTTCTTCGGAAGGTGGTAATGAACGGGAACCTTCTTATCAAATAATTTCATTAGGATTAGGCGATATTTCATTTGAATTTTCGGGGAGAAGCCATAGAAGGCATGAAAGGATCGTACGAATATACATTATTGTTGATACTTTTGCTCTCATAGGAATAATCCAAGTTGAAGATCTATCCTTGATCTACTTTTTATGGTTTTCATTATCTCAGGAGACATACCAGATTGCATACGAAATATTATCATAGTTGGATATGTCATAGATTTATCATGACCCTATAAGGGTCTTCCTTTATAATTTTGCCAACCATTTCTAGTCCTTTTAGAGATATTCTTTGTACTCGATCCTCGATCCTCGAACATTGATCTTGCTATGAGACTTCGGGGAACCACGGGGAATCGGCGAATATTATCAGATTTAGCTAATTTCGCGCTTATCTCTCGTTTATTTATTTTGTGTTTGGACAATGGGACGCGATGGTCTCTACGTGGGCCAAAAAACGTCTGGTTTTGCCGTCGCCTTTTGTTATTTTGATTTTTTTTTGCGTTCATTTTGGGGCTGTGGCAAATTCCACTTGATTGCCTCGAATGCGGACGTGCCGCTCGGCTTTCACGTCACATGCGTGTGCTGTGGTCGGTGGGAGAGAAGGCGGTCGGTACAGGGTACATGCGGGACATGGAAATGGTTTTCTTTTAGCACCTGACGCACTCATCGTCAGGCGGTCCCCGAAATCTGATGAAAGATGTCGTTCCTTGCGTCAGCATCTTTGGATCATCAGATCAGCTGTCTGTCCATCGTATGGCAGTGATCCAAACAGAGATCTATCTCCATCTCAGAGGGCAGGCATGTCTTTGGTCACGATAGCCCCCCGAAGCCCGCACAATGCCTTCGCTCAATCATTGTCCAAAAAAAGAATAACAAACAAAATTTAATCTCCGATGGAGGGCGGAAAAAGCCCATGTGAGGCGGTGTCTGCCTCAAAGAAAGTCATATGAATCGCACATCGGAATCGGAATCATCGTCGATTATTGACAATAGAACTCGATTAGCACAAACAGAAATGAAATATGAAATTTCGAGAGCGACAAACAACAGCCAAAGGCAGGAGACCGACTTCATATGGTATTTCACCATGAGGCGGTAAAAATTACGATCCAACTGGCTAGAGGATCGGCTGATAAAATAGAGGCGCAGTGATAAGGCGATGGTTCGCTGGAGAAAGCACAATGTCGGTCAGAGCGGAGTGGGGAGTGTGTGCAGATTGAAGTGCATGGCTACAGGGGTGCAGCTCCTCTTATCAGCAGGACAAGATGGTGGTTGTTGATGGCGATCCATTTGTTTTTTTACAGCCTGCACTGGAAATTTCCCATAGATACTACCATTGCCATATTCTGACCATTCCGTAGCAGCCATAGAAAAGGCATTCAAGTGCCAAGCGGCGCAACGTGTGCACCTATCGATATTCCCAGTCTCTTACTATTACTCCCGCTCTCTCTCTCTCTCTCTCTCTCTATCTATGGCTATGACCGCTCCATTTGCTCCAAGGTGTTTTCTATGAGGTATACCAGAGTGATATTTTCCTTCAATTCTCTCAACAAAATCGCAAGACTGGCGCTCGAGCCAGTATACCCCATTTGAATCCACCTTGGCGCTTGCTTATCACAACAACAGGTTCAATGGCTCTTGAATGCTTTTCTGCGCTCCCTGTGGATCTGCTGCTGCTGCAGCACTGCTCCTTATGTTGCTGCTGCTGCCGCGCCGCCTCTTCTGTTTCTTTTGCTGCTGCACCTCTTTTACTGCAGCACTGCTTCTTATGTGGCTGCTGCCGCGCTGTCACTGCTCTTTCTTCTGCTGCTGCAGCACTGCTTCTTATGTTGCTGCTGCTGCGCTGTCACTGCTCTTACTTCTGCTGCTGCAGCACTGCTTCTTATGTTGCTGCTGCTGCGCTGTCACTGCTCTTTCTTCTCCTGCTGCTGTTGCTACTGCTACTGCAGCATTGCTTCTTATGTAGCTGTTGCTGCGCTGTCACTGCTCTGTCGCAGAAATCTGTGGGAGGGGTCTCTCTTCTGTTCATTCGGGCTGGTCAGCTCTCCGTTCTCACAGCTTTTTAAGAGCATTTCATTACGTGCGAGCAGGTGAAATGGCGATCATTCGGCAAGGAAATATGGTACCTACATACGTGAAGCACGTATGGCATTCAGTGGAAATTGCGCAGACTGGGAATGCATTAAATGTTTGCAGAGGTACATATGATAAAGACCCCTGTGATGGAGTGGTGTTGCGATTCTGCTGATTCTGGGGTTTATCTACTGCTTCTCAGTCTTGTTTACTGCTTGTCAGATGCATTTCAATGGAAGCTACTGCTTATCCGACTCAATCACTACTTTAGGAGATCATCAGCTGAATAATGAATGAATATACTGCTTTGTACAGAGATTCTGTTGTACAGTGTTGATATATAAAGAGTGTTTTCCACTATGCTTTATATGATTTCTTCTTGGGAATCCCTTATATATTTATACGATCTTTATGGGTCTGCCGGCGCACTCTTTTCATTCTCAGTGCCATCGACTTATGGCGCCTGGAAGTGCGGATCGGTTCCGCAAAGTGCTCGAAATGGAGCGAAGAGAGCATTATCTGTCATAAAAATCATTCAGATCATGCAATCCATCATCCCCATCATACCCATCCCCCCCTTCTGGTGTCTCAAATTGGTCCAGTGGTCGCGCCGTAGTATTATCATTATGTGTGTACGCATTATTATTATTATTTTGTTCTGTTGTGTTTGGAATTCTCGCATTCATTGATTTCAATTCGCAAATTGCGGAGCGGCTCAACGGAATTGCGCTTTGTTTCCCACACAAAAAAGAACGACGACAATCGTATGGTCATCGCTCATCTGTATCTGTATCTGTATCTCTATCCCAGTGCAGCAGTTCATCTTCATCAAGAGACCCGCTATTCTGCCAGGGCCTCTGGTCAGTGCCTCTTCCCATTCTCAGTGTTTCGTTCCGTTTGTGCCTCCACCTACTCCTCGGATACTTTTTTCTTTACTCTTTCAGGCGGGGTATTCCAGTATTGGATCATCTGTTGGTGCTCCACCTATCCTCATCTATCAGATATCCACCAGGTTGAGACACTTAGTACTCGGAGCCACTCAATACGTCCCCTAAGTTTCACAGCAATCGAATGATGAAAGAGCATTCTACTCCATACATTTCTTAGGGCAAATCTCTTCTATCCCAATTCCAATGGTACTTTTCAGCCTCTAAGATAGACCTTCTGGCTTTGAACAGATGATCTCTCGGTCGGCAAGGGTATCCCCGATCCGCGTGTAGCCTTTATGGATCTTTGTATTTGAAGCCGGCGCGCCGGCTGGCGGCTCGGAGCTCCGCCTGGGCTTTTGGCGTACGTGACTTTGGCATCTGCGGCAATGTCCGCGACGACCGACGACTGCCGCCGGCTCTCGACCGCTGGGGCTGCGACTGTTGCAAATCGAAACGAATCGCTGGATTTGCCCCTGGAGTGGATGCCGCATGCGGCACAGGGAGGCGGAGAATGGAGAAGCAGAAGCCGCCAAACCTGCCCCGTTGTCGGATTTACAATTTGTCTGCCGCTCGGGCTAAACTTTTTGATTATTTTATTTATTTATTTTGCCCAGCTCGTTAATGTTTAATGTTATTGCCGCCACAAAACAGCAAAAAGTGGAAAGAAAATCCACATGAAACTCAACAACGAATTGGAAAGACTCTAAGTTTAAGAAGGAAGAATGGGGAATGGGGAATGGGATATATGTATTCCTGAATATTACCATTTGAAATGGTACCATCTGCAACCATGCCTCTAATCCTCTACACTCCGCGTCATGCAGCAGCGCCTATCGGTCGGTCGACAAGGATTGAGTCCATGAAAGTCCATGTACTCTGTATTTAGAGCAGAGTACTCGCGTGGCAAAAACTGCTGGCGTTTCATGCAATGTGATCTGCTGCTGGTGCTACTGCTGTTGCTGTTGCCACTTGCTGGTGGTTGGTGCCTCCATCCGATGGCGACTGAGGGGCCCCCTGGGTCGTCTGTCTAACGGCTGCGTCAGCAGCAGTATAACAGCAACATTTTCGCATGGCAACAGCCGATCGTTTGGGCCATGTGATTGCTGATCGCGGATCGCGAGTCGCTGTTTACTGTGCGCTCGCTTGTGGCCCATTTCGCTGTGATTGCGTGGGGGGTAGAGGTAGTGGTAGGGGGGCAATCACAGACGACTGCCCCCGAAAAAACAACTAGTCGAAGCGTCATCTAGCAACCCCCGCCGAGCGTCTGCTTCTATCTTGTTGTACTTGACGATTAGCAGGGCGCGAATCGGAGCCAAAACGAATGTCAACATTCGATTCATTTAGTGGAAAAATGTTGAATAATTTCCACAATTTGTTTGTCTCGACTTACGGGGAAACGGGGGAGCACCCTGGCAACAGATGAGGCCCAACACCCAACTAACCTCTGGGGGGATGATCATCACTTGGGGGTTCAATGATCTCTCTCTCTCTCTCTCTCTCTCTGGGGATACCCCTACCTTTTGGGGCTGGGATGGGGGCTCGACCTGGAATGCATTTCATTTTGTAAGCACAGGTGTGGGAACAGCCCCATTAAATACTATAAGGGAATACGAGTACTTCCAATGTAATGCCCATCCGCTGATCGTGTGGAAAAGGGGTACTACATATGATGACTAATGCGAATGCCATCGTGAATAGTCATCTACTTTGAAGCCCAGAGAGATTTAGAGATCGCAGATCCATAGAGTAAGACTTAGTCAGGCATTTTGAAGACTCGGGCATTCAAAAGATCAAAAATCTATTCTCAAAAGCGAGAATAAACCCATCGATAAAAAGATCATTCATTATTGAAGATGTGGGTTATGGTTATGGGTGCCAATAACCGCTTTCGTATACAAAACCCCAACGTGTTTGTGATGAGTGTTTAATTATAGGGGGAAAGATCTTTCCTTTGAAGCTGGAAACTTAGGCTAAGAAATCCATATTTGCATAGTTCCCAACGGGTATACCTTGTGGTAATATCTCATTAAATGTTGGCATTATTCTTGTATTCCAGGTATACATGGCCCTGTTCCAGCCGCTGCATGTGACGCGACATCAGTTCAAAAAGGTGCTTAACTGCATGAAGGTGATACGTGCCCTGAAGTACCAGGAGGTCTATGCCCAGGAGAAGGTCACCAAGGTCGATAGCCTGTCGCTGGTGCTGAGTGGCAAGTGAGTTACAGAATTAACGATTCCACCATCAACAGAACCTGCGGTATACATTTCGATTTCCCCACTTTGAAGGTTGGTCGTGTCGCAGCATCAGAGGGCATTGCATATTGTGTTTCCCCATCAGTTCCTAGACTCGCCGGAATGGTTTGGCGTATCGACAGATGATTACTTTCAGGTATGTACCATTCTTTCAAATATACATATGTATGTACATATATCTTTTATGCGTATCTATTGCTCTTTGGCAGGTCTCCATTATGGCCATGGAGGAGTCCCGTGTGCTCATCTGGCATCGCGACAAGCTCAAATTGTCAATTATGGCCGAGCCCTTCTTGCAGACCGTCTTTGATCATATATTGGGTCGGGATGTTGTGAAGAAACTCATGCAGGTCACACAGGTCTGTACCCACCGTAGGTACAGTCTCGGCTCCGATAAGTGATTCGATTAACTCGATTTTATTTGCAGGTGAGCGAATCGATAGCCAGCAATGGCTTCCTGCCATCTGGGGGTTATGCGGAGGATGCCGAGGATAAGCCGATGCTCATACTGAAGAAGAGCGTGGATGTGGGCCATGGACTGACGGCGCTGATTAATCGACAGCTGCAGGGTGAGTCGCCAATCTCCCCTCACTCTCTCTCTCTCTCTCTCTCTCTTCCTCACCCTCTCTCTGTCACTCTGTCTGTATCTCTAGCTGTCCCTCTCTTTCATTCTTCAGCCTTCATTTTCTCACCTCACAAACTCTCTCTCTCTCTCTCTATCTCTGGCTCTCTGTTTGCACGCCTTCTGCTTGTGACGGGGCTTTTGCATGGCTTAACCTCACTTTTGGCTAGAACCTAACCTCACATTTGGAACCCAACCTCAGCCTAACTTCGAAGTACGATTACAAGTAGTTTGATTTATTCGTTAACTTTATTTATATTCATTTTGATTTGTACGTTTCTGTTTATTGTTCCGTTTTTCTTTTTACCTTTTTGCAAAAAACAAAAAAACGAAAAACAAAAAAAAACTCTAATTTTAGAAGAGCATGTTCCCTTACTTGGTCGCACGTACAAACAACAACTGCAACTGCAACTGCAACAAGAACAACTGCAACTGCAACACCAACTGCAAATGCAACTGCAACTGCAACAAGAGCCACGAGTGCACGAGTCCTCCTCCACCTCGAACAACAACGATCAAAGTGCTCTGTAAAATGAAGGGGGAAATGAAGAAATGCTGCTACAACGATGCCACTCGCAACTCGCTACTCGCTCCACTTGCCATACCAACAAAACAGTTCACCTCTGACCCAAAACCAAAACATAAAAACAGACGACAATCAACCAATCACGACACGATACCTCCACCGCCTCCGCCACCGCAGAAGGTACACACACACACACGCAATCGCTGAGAACAGGAGCCCACCAACAGCAACAGCAGCAGCAGCAGCAACAGCAGCATTATCCACGTCATCATTCAGTCCATCATTCACTCATCAAGCCGATCCGATCCGATCGCAGAGAGAGCCAACGCCAACTCCAGTGCCTATTCATCATCCAGAAGCAAACATCGCATCGCATCGCATCTCATAGAATCTATCACACACACACACACACACTCCCCCGCCTCCTCCTCTAACCAGTACTAATCACTCTAATAGCATTACAATATGTACTCTATATGTTTTGTATAACCAAACGAGAAACCCCAAACCCAAAACGAAGATCCAAACAAACAAGCCAGGCACCATTCGAATTTCGCAGACCAAACAAATCTAACTTGTCACTCTCCCGCACTGATACCCCAAGTACACGCCACAGAAAATCTTACGAAAGTAAAGCAATACATTTTCCGCAGAAGTTTAGGCCCATCAATCGACACCGCTAATGAAAGATTACTGAGAAGGCAGCGGAGCTATAAATTGAATTGAATTGAATCTGAGGAATTTGTTGAAGTTAATTCAAATCCTTGAATACGACTACTCGTATGAGTTGTAGTCAAACCAGATCCACATCCATATACGAACATGAGATACTCGACTGATCATGATCAAACATCCACATACTTGATGTTTGACTTTTGAGTATGTGTACTCTCGCGCGAGTATAGTATGCTGTAGTTAAGATGTTTGTTTGACTCTGATCATGATCATAGGCTAGTTCTCTGACATATGATCTTGCAGCGAAGCGAGATCTGAAGTTGATAGACGTTTGTGACTGATCTTGAGCACAGATTCAAATTAGACTAAGATACTTGACTGTAGCTGAAGAGATTTCTCATCATAGATTAGACTTTTGGTGTAAATTATGTTCTGTTTCATAGATTGTGTCAGTCGTGGCAATCGATAGATAATTGTAATCTGCAGCTGTATGAATTTCCAACTTCTTCAAGATCCTTAAAAGATTGTGCCACCAGCAGAGACATCATTAATTCGGATACTCGAAAAAAAGCAACTGGTTGGAGAACAGCTCTCGATGTCAGCGATTGAAGATTGAAGATCGAGCGGTGTTGGGGCGGGGGCGGGTGAATCGAGTGACAAGTGATGATGATTAATGAATGATAAATGATCTTTTAACCCAAAACGAAATCTTCAAAAGATCTGTTCTCTGAATGAATTTTTGTTATCTAATATACTTTTTACCCATTTGTTTGTCATTAACACATTTATAATATTATTGCTATTATTTGTTGTTTGTGTTCTCCACATTTATGTTGATTTGCATACAAATTGAGCGCGAAAACTAATTAGAATTAATATTTAATACTGTGTAAGCAATACCTAGGCACCTAAGTCTTTGTACATATATAACCATATTTGCAATATAGGACATACACATACTCTATAACCATATATATATATATATATATATATATCCTATATATATGCTATATATATTTATATCTGATTTGCTGTGTATAATCGCCCCGCTCCAATCGCAGGCCCAAGTCTCATCCCCCCCACACGATACCCCAACAAATAATTATTTGTATAACGAAAGGAATAAATGTGAATGTGTAAACAAGCCAAAAACGAAAGCAAATAAAAAACTAAAAATCATATTATATATATCAAGAGAAGAACATCCACTCATCCACTCGTTTCGTATCAGATACATGTATACTATATCTTCCAATCGATGGGAAGGCACGCGCTCTGCCGCTGCCGACTGTCGACCATTTGGCATCATTAACAATATTTTGGCATTGATTTGTTTTTTATTTTAATAACAAAAATATTTTCTATTTAATTAAAAAATTTTGCTATTGTCGCGATCTCCGCGCCGACTGTTGATTGCGATCTGTCGCTGTCTGTCTGTCTGTCTGTCCGTTTGTCCATCTGTCCGTCCATCTGTTGTGCCGAGCGTCGATGATCGCGGGAGTGTGACGGCAAGGCGGTTGGGTATTCTGTGAGGCATGTGGCAATCTCGCACACACTCTGTAAACACATCAAAAGCTGAGCTGACGATCACTTCCGCCCCATTTGCAAGCCCGTGTATCAATAATTATTGTAGCGTATTCACTTGTCTTAGCGACTAATTAAAGGTTCTACAGCAGGAGCAATACTTCTATAAACGAATTAAGCGGAAAGAATAATTTGCTGGCAATCCAATGAAAGCCAGCTACTCGAACATATGTATATGTATATGTATGCCATTAACCAAATGGCGCGTCTGATACGTCAGATAGTACTTTCTAAGATAGTCTTATCTAGGGTGGCTAGAGTACGTATTAGAAATAAGATCGATCGAATCCATAGCTAAAGAATAGAACTGTCTGGATGATTCATTGATTAATCGATCTACAACAAAGTTCAAACACAGAAATAGCATAGTCTCGAAATAGAATTCGATTAGAGGCTCTCAAAATATCACGTGCGATTAGCAGGCGCGTGACACACTGACCTATAGTTTGAATGTTCAAACACCAGTCGTATTTTGACTAGTTGTAATTTGTATCTGAATCTATGTATATCTCACTCTCTGTCACTGCTTCCCTCTGCTTTCCTCCTCACTCAAATGACTTTCACAATTCCCACCCTTCCCTATATCAAAACAAAAGCCCACCTACATACATACATATATTGTACTATCTGTATGTTTGATTTGTGATGAAATTTATGTATTTGATTTTCTATTTTTTCGGTGAACTATAATTTTGTTGTACGATATGTCCAAAATAAAAAAAAATAAATAAAAAAAAATCGATCATAAACGTTAATCAACAAAACTACAACTCCAACTACAAACCAACCAACACCTACAAAATCCTACAAAAAAACCAACAAAAACCAACCACCAAACCACCGAAATCGACTATCGTTCGATTATCTGTTGTGTGTGTGGTGTTATCGGTGTATCAGCCCTGCCCAGGATATCGAAGTACTACGATTGCGGTAAGTCCAAACTCCAAACTTCAACACCAAAGAAATCAGTAATCAGAAATGAAATCAAATGAAAGATGTATGTATGCTCCTTAGTCTGTGTGTGTCTCTCTCTCTCTCTCTCTCTCATATTCTGTCTTTCTTCAGAAGTCTGTGTTACCGTTACCGTTTGTAGTGTGACCGTTTGTGTGTCTGTTTTGAATAGTTATCGTTTTTCGTAAGCTTTTTAGAGTTATATTCTATGCATGCCTGCCTTTGTTAAATCAAATAAATTAAGTGTTCCATTCGATAGTGCCCCCCGAAAAGCCGAAACAACTCTCTTGCTAACCGCCGTCTCTTCAAAAAACTTGAATAGAACTTAATATCTGGAATACACATTGAGAAATAATATATACCTTTCTCTTCTCTTTTACTTGCTTTGTTCTTTTAAAACTTTCCGTTTTAGCTGGTGATCCAAACTCCTGGCGACTGGGACGGATCGATGAGACTGACCACGAGACGGCCGTGTGAGAGAGAGGATCAGTGCGCAGGAGGAGGAAGAGGAGTGAAATGTTTAGACTTGTGTTTTTGAGTATTATTAGATGTATATTTTAGGTAATACTAAAAAGAGAGCCCCTTGCTAACCGCAGAAAACCGAAAACAAGAAACAAAAATTACAATACTTCTAAGGAAACCAAATGCCATGCGTCGTTATACAGATACAGAAACAGATATACATATATATATATATATATATATATGTATACTGTAAGAGATACTATCAATCTTGTTATGGGTATTTCTATGGAAATGCTGGCGTGCCATGCTGGTTTTTTTCTCTTCAAATTTTCTTTTGTCAATGAGCTTTAATAAGTGATTAGTTGATTTTCTAAGAACATCGAATTTAAATAGATTTTTTATTGCTAGTAAAGGCTAAATAATATCGTTTTATCATTAGCTTCAATGATTTTAATGTATTTGTATTATTTTTAAGATACTTTAAGTGGCATCCATCGAATTTTTTCTTAGAATACTTTCAGTTTCAGTGACAGGATAGGCATATGCATACGCATACTACAAACACTGCATGCACTGCTTTCAGTGTTTCAGGAATACCCATACCCATACCCCTAAATGGAAATATATTTATAAATTAAATTTAGTCTAGTTGCAAATTGTATTACGCTACAACTATGGATTATAGGGATGAAGCTGAAGATGGATAGAAACAAGAGATGGAGACGACGGAACGAAATGATTATTAACTAAATAGAAGAAGAAATGTATTTTTTTATTACCCTAAAGTTAAGAGATTACTAAAACAACAAAACAATGGTTACAAAACAATTGAAAAATGAAAAAATACAAAATGTTAAGTGTACAATATACAAAATACAAAAAAACATACATACATACTAACTATAGAAAATACACACAGATGCAGATACAGATGCAGATACATTTATGAATGCGTATCTATAAGAATGATGTTTACCCTACCTACCCCATCCAGTATAGAATTCCATTCGAAACACTTGTCATCCAGTTCCCGCCTAAATTGTCATACGAGGTGCTGCAGAAAGAGAGATCAAGGGAGATCCCCTAGCCTTAGAACAGTTCTTGCCCGTGGTTGGTCATGTAGGTCAGAGTTCTGTTGGTGCTGCATGAAAATGCCTCAATCCCTAACATACATACACATATATTCCTCATATCACTAGTCGTCCCACCACCCTATAAATTAAAGAATAGAGAAAAACTGGCAGCAAAAAAAGCTAAGAGAAATACATATATAGTACTGTTTACGAGTATATTCGCTACTCAAAGACCGAAAGAATGTATACTTATTCCTGATAAGCTGGAATATATCAGAAACGTCTGTCCAAGTATCCAAGTATCTGTCGGTATCTTGATGTCGAGCCACGTGTGCCTCGTTATATTTTTGTAGTGTAGCTGATGTGCCCCGCCCCCTTGTTGTTGTTGGTAACAAAATAGTGATTTTGTTAGCTAGTTTAGGTATCACGATCAATATCGATAGAAAACTGAGTGCAGAAAAGAGTCGGGCCCCAAAAGTTCCCTTCGTTTTTGAGGTTTTTTTGAGGCATACAAAATGGAATTTGGTTTCATTTCCACAGTATTCGAGTATTCCCTCCCATAGATTGCATTCTATTGTATTGTATTGTATTGCATTATATTGTATCGATCCCAACGTTTGTCTCTCATGTAAGATCCACATTAAGCAAAAAAAAACATAAAAGAATAAAAGCATAAAAGCATAAGAGAACCGATGAACCGACAAACAAATAGTTCAATGTATTTCGTACCTTGGAGCATAATTAAAAGCGTGAATTAAAATGAAAATGAAATAAAACATAAACTAAGTTTACTGACAGCTAAACGCTCATAGCACAGATCCCCATATACGTAGTAGTATGTTCTGTTCTCGTATAATCTTAAGTTTTTTTTTCGGGCTTGGTAGAAGGTAAGTTTTTAGGAGGGAGGAGATGGCCAGTTAATGGTTACCTAATCAGATATGGACAACAGTATTACACAGTCATAATTGCATAATTAACTATAAACTTCCCCCCAGCCTCCAAAAGGCTCCCAGAACGGCAGACATGACATTTAAGGTGGATGGACAGTCGCAGTCTCCTCTCCACTCCTGGCAGGGAGGACTCAGCAGGCGGAAGGCAGAGAGCAGAAGGTTTGCAATTAATATGCATGCAAGTAGCCACAGATCCGGGGTCCAAAAACTTTGACAACGACTTTGGACATTGTCCTGGAGTTGGCCACAGGGGCCGCCACAGACTCTCTCGAAAAGTTGCACAAACGACGGTTTTAATATTTGATGCGGTTTTGCTGTATGTGGTGGTGGTGCCATCGCGCTATCTATGTGTGTGTACGAGGAATGGTGGTTTTTGAGCTGCAACTTAAGGCAGCACTTTCCACCGCTATAAAGGTTTAATTTCACCTAGAACTGTCTTTAATTGATGCCTTATTTTATTTTGAACTTAAATCCCAATCAGAATCTAATCAATGGGTCGTCCTTTGGGTCTAATTTGTTTGGTTCCCCCCCTCTGGCTTGGGAAAAGTTTAATTGCAAGCATCACTCAAGCAGTGTTCGCGCGTACCGTACACACGTGTGTCTCGCCACGCAGTGTGTGTGTATCGGTTCGCTAAGCAGTGGATCAGCGTTGTCAAGCAGTCAATTACAGGTGGCGCGGGGCGAACAAAGCTGTTGCATACTTTCCGGCGGTCGTGGGCACTGGTCTGTAATCGCACACACACATATGTGCCCCTGTTATGCTTCTTTTTTGTTTTTTTAATTGCCACTCCCCTTAATCCTTGTGTGGATTCTACTTTTTTATTTTTAGTTTATCGAATGGTCGGTCACGTGCCCAATGGAAAAGGGGCGACAGGCAGACAGGACATCAAATAAAAAAATAAAACTCCCTGTTAATAGAGTAGACCGTCAAAAGATTGACTGCCAGAGCTGGGAAAATATTTACACACATTTTTGGTTCCAGCTTAATTTTCGAGTTTTCGCCAATTTTACCTTCTGGATTTCCCCTTTTTTATACGATGCCATGCTACATACATACATATGTACATATGTACTATTTACTATGTACTAGTGCCATCTCTTTATTGAATTTGAAAATCTTTTCCCTCTTTCTGTATTATTTTTTTGTGGAGGGCTGGGTCCGAGTGCGCGGTGGTGGGTGTTGCATGTGCAAAAATAATTGCAGTTTGCCTTGCTCATTTCGCTTGTTTGCAACACTCTGCTTCCGCTCCACTTACGCCTGGAGCTGCTGTGGCTCTGGCTCTGGCTGTGGCTCTGCCTCGGCTTCTGCTGCTGTTTCTGCTTCTGTTTCTGAAGCTTTGGATTTAGGTTAGTCGTTCACCTTAAATCAGTTAATGTTAATCAGCATTCCGCCCGCCGCGTTGATGCAGCAGAGGCAGGGGCAGAGGCAGGGGCAGGCGCAGGGGCTGGGGCCGGGACCAGCCAGCAGCCTGTCACTCAGTCAATTGCTTCCGCTTCCGTTTGACGCCTCTCATCCGGCGGATTGGTTTGGATGGGCATCGATCGGACCAGGGAATGTCGTCGATGTAGTCTCCGCCCTGCCATGCCATGAAAGGGGATGGAGGCCATGGGCAGGGGGCTTCATTGTTGTCGCTTGGCTGATTCCTCGACTACGAGTACATGCGATTGGGTCACCCGAGAAGGCAGCCATCCGTCAGTGTCCCTTTGCCACGGCGACTGGCACCCTTCGACGGGTTGTTGGTCAATAACCTTAATTGCTCAACAATTTTGCACACAGCCACACAAACAGGCAGCAAAGGCGCTAATCAGACAGCAGCAACACCAACAACAGCAATCTGTCCCTGCGGTTTATGTGTGTCACTATGCTAGACATCCCATACCCCAAACCCATCCCCAAGCGAGGGGAGTCCGGTTAGTTGGCTTTGGTTTTTGTGCATTTAATCAATATTTGGACACCAGCCACAGTCACAGCAGCCACAGCCCACAGCCACAGCCCAGAGCACCACCAACTGACAAAGTGTCGAAAAGAGTTTAAGCCAGATAGAAAGGATATCTATCTCTATAGCATCGAGCACAGAGCACCCAGAGCACCCAGAGCACCCAGAGCCCTTTGTTACCCTCAGTGAATGTTTGAGTGTATCTATGAACCACAAAATTGTATTGATTCGGTTAAAACATCTTCAATAAGAGAAATGACTGCTCTTTTGGCATGTGTTTCCAATGGCAGCTACATATGTGATATTGAGGATGATATATGTACGAGTAGCAGTCCAATTTCAAACCAATCTTAATGAAATATTGAAAAAAGAAGAAAAAATGCAGCCCAAAGTTGTTTTGGAACTATCTATTATGGGCTAAAATCCAAATTTGTTGAGTAAAAAACCTACATTATTCTCCAAAATGACCCAAAAAGTGCCATGGTTTTTAAAAGAATTTCTTGGGTAATTACTTCACTAAATTATTGGTTCCACATTTCCAAAAATTGTCGATAATTTTCGCAAATAATTTCCTCTGGATGCACATCCATTGAAGGGCTCCTCTCCATCATCTCCATCGTGTAACCCATTTCTCAGAATAAAATCCGTTTTCGTTGGGGGCTGGACCCAAAGGACCCTTTGGTACAGAATTTTTTGATCGGATGCCCCCGAATCCGTGCCCAAAAACCCAAGAAAGGAGCCTACAAATGATTCTTTCTTGGTGGTTCTTGGTGGTTCTTGGCTGCTGGACGAACCGGACTGGCCTTCATTTAGCTTTGGACAAAATGAAAACCTCTTTTTGTTTGAGCAGCAAATATTGAAGTGCAACTGCAACAGCAACAGAACAGCAGCAGCAGCAGCAGCGGGAGCCAAAGGCTGGGGCAGGCACCTCAACAGAAAAATTTCAAAAAGTGACCGCAAACAATGGACGAAGCCAAGAATTGGGGGCGGACTGGGAGGACTACGAAGGGGGGGAGACAGCACGGAAGTCACAGAAACAGAATGAAATTAGCTTGCAACACACCCACACACCCACAAAAACACACACACCTAAACACACATGTTGCAATATGCAATCCACTTGCACTTCCACTTCAATAGATGTACTCATATACAGTGGCTCCGAATGGACGCTCTCCTAGGGGGACATCCCCCTCCCATAACTGCTGGGAATGATCCGGAAGGGCACTAACGACATGGTGGGCACTGCACTCGTATGTCAGGGACTGTGCATCAAGCAAACATTTGACATTTGTACTGAGAAAAAAGAAAGAAAGAAAGAAATGCAACAGTAAACTGCCAAAAGGCACAAAGCAAACATAGTCCCTCCACTCTCTCTAATCTTTCTCTCTCCCTCTGCCTGTGTGTAAAACAAAACGCAACATCAAATATATATCCACTATATGTACACATATACAGTAACTGTATATATAGTATATATGTATATACAGTAAAAAAGAAAACGAGCAAAAGTGTTGCCAACATTTTGCAACGAGGCGCATTTAGAATGAAAACTTTTGCAGAAGTTTGTAAACTCTGCCGCTGCTCTGCATTTCAAAAAAAGGCACAGGGACAGAGACTCGCAAGGAGATTGAAGCGCGGAAAATGTATCAAAATTCAATAGAAACCGTATACTTATCTAATTAATTATTCAGTTTTCCCAGTGCGAAAAGGAAAGACCTCCCATCGCAACAGTCAGACTGGTTTGTTCAGCTTCCCAGCTGGTATCATCGTCAAGTCTATATATTATTTTATATACAGCTTTCATTCCAATGCCTTCAGGTACAGCCGGCCTATCGACACTAATACAAATTATACCAAAGGCTCTACAATACCAAGATGTACAACTGAGTGTCGGGTATGGACGTAGAGCCGCAGCCCTTGCCGCGCTTAAAAAGATTTTGGGGATCTACTCAGCCCTGTCGGTCCCACAATCCAATTTTTGGTTCGTGTAAAGTACAAAATAACTGTCGCCCAGTGTAATTAATTATTTATTTCTTAATATAATACAAATACAATAACAACAATATGTACGTCCTGTTTGGATTCACCAGTAAAAATCACATTCTCCATAAATGAATGTGGACTGGGTTTGGGCTCCGCCCAAAGCCTTGCGGAATTTAAATAAATAAAGCCATGAACGAATCGGAAATCGGACTCCCAACGGATGTGGTTTGGAAGCTGAAGCTGGACCACGACATGCTCACATATATTTGAAGTGACAATTGACAGCCGCCAAGTGCCATTCAATTCGGGCACAGCCCAAGCCTTGACACAAAAATGCGTCTTATTTGCCCACCGCTATATGCAGTTCCGGCTGAGCCCGCTCGAGGTACCTGACTTCAGTTCCAAGCATTTCTGGAAGGAAAAAACGGATACGGAAATGCAAAATCATCGCCGAGAGAATCGTTGAAACCTGGTGGCCCTGGTGTTTAGTGGGAAGAAATGAGTGCATAGGAAACCAATAACTTTGGGGAAAAGTATGCACCGATGAAATTTAGACGTCACTAAGGGGAGGTTCCGGTTCTAAGGCCCAAAAATGACCTACATTTCAAGAGCATTTTTCGACACAAAATTAACTATTCTGCAGAAACTTTTTAGTAGGTTTTATTTGTAATTGAAATGAGTAATTTATAAAATGACTTTCCTCAAAAAATATTTAGTGATCCTAATGACAAGAGGCATGAAATCCCACAGATTTTCGATTAGTTGCCCAGCAGATTCATTTGTGGTAAAGTGCGTTTCACTCTTCCATGCTACAATCTGCAGTCCCCAGTCCCCAATCCTCAATCCTCAATCCTGAATCCCATTTTTGATGAAATTTGTCGCCCTGGAATCGAGAATGTGTGTGCACTCAACGTGGTGGAGTACTGCCAAAGAGGTGTGTTGTCGATGATGCCACTATAATCTTTTCCTTTCGATGGTTGAGCCTGAGCCACTCAGCAATTGCACACTTTCACTTCATTCGGGTGCTCTCAGGGCTCTCAGGGCTCTGCTCTGCTCTGCTTTGCTCTGCTCTGCTCTGCTCTGCGGCAGTAGTGCACTTAACATGGTGCTTCTGAGAGAATGAGTACGTGCACGTGGAGGATGTTGTGGCATGGTGTGGCTGTGTGGCAGTAGCCCAGGCCCAGGCCCAGGCCCAGGCCCAGGTATTGTGCTACCCTTTTAATGTGGCACAATCATGGCACGGAGTCGGAGGTCGGAGGTCGGAGTTGCCTCAATCACATGTGGGAATTCAATTAAATAAACGAGACTTTCCAAAAGAGCAGGCGCTGGTCAGGGCAATAAATGTGCACACGTATAGACACGGATACGGGTAAGGACACGGATAGATAGATAGATCCCTCGGCGGCCGGAAGTCGCTTTTGGCCAACAGCGGAAGCTGCAAACGTCTGCTCCTGCTCTTGGCAGGGGATACTCTTTTGCATTGGTTATGGGTGGCCATTTCTTGGAATCCGAGACCCCCAACAAAACTCATCCACGAGGGCATCCAATTTTCGCCATGCTGCTGCTGCTACTGTTGCTGCTGCTGTTGCTGCTGCTGCTGCTGCCTTGATAATCGCCTGCCCTGAGCTGCGTGCCACAACGTTGCTGCAGCACAACCCCGATGTATGCTCGTGCGGGGCCTCGTGGAGCTCGTTGCCACAGCCGAATGCGTGTCCTGCTGGGTGCCTGGCTGCTGTTAGTCGGTTGAAAGTTCTTCAGAGCAACAGACGTGCCCGGAAGCAGCAGAAGAGTCCATTCTTTGAGTAACAGTGTGCTTGATTGGGTGTGCTCTTGTGTTTTGGCGCGTGATTTTTGTTTGTTTAAGTGAGTGTCAGAATGAGGGACCATCCATCGGTGCCCAGTGTGTTCCGCGTGGCCTCCACGCACAGCATCAACAGCGAGAGTCCCTACAACAATGTGCCACCGAATCCAGCTAAGATAGGCAGCAGCAGCATTTGCCACCAGCAGCAGCAGCCACATCAATTGACCACCAGTGCATCCATAGAGCACAGCTATCCGTCACAGCATCAGCATCAGCAGCAGGAGCACTCGCCCTATGCCACATTGCCACGTGGCCAGAGATTTGCAATGCCACAGCATCCGCCTCCACCTCATGCCTATCCACCTCATCATCCACAGAGACAGCAGCAGCAGCAGCAGCAGCAGAATACGGGCGTGATCAATACCATTTCGGGAAGCATTCCCGCCACTGGCTTTGGCAGCGATCTGCAGCTCAACAATTTGTCGGGGAGTCGACGCCAGCACCCGCGACAGGCGGCACCACCTCCGTTGGGCCAATACCAGCCAACACCGCTTCCGCCCCAGCTACCCATGGAACAGCGCCCGCGGCTTCAGCAGCAGCAGCAGCAGCCACGTGGGGGCGGAGGCGGAGGAGCATCCGATGGACAACAGCAGCAGGGACACGGCTTCAGCAGTCTGAGCAGCCTGGCCAGCGGCAGCTACCTGTGGCTCCTTACACCTGTTGCCGCCAGGTCAGTGCCACATTCACATCCACAGCTCCACATCTATGTAGGGCTTTCCTTTAATAGGAAATTCGTATTTCGTATACCTTTTTGTAGCTGCCTTTCTTCCTTTTCTCCTGCAAAATGCCTGAAATTCCTTTGCAAAATCTCTTATAAATGTCGGGCGCAAAGACTATAGCCTTTAAGAGGCATGCAGCACACACACACACACACTCTAGCAACCATGTTGCCTGCCGCCATTTCTGTTTTGTGTTTAAAGAAATTGAATAAACGACTACAGGCAGCAGGCGTCAGGCGTGAGGCGTCAGGCGGCAAGCGGCAGCAACCACCATCCACCATCCTTCCGACGACACATAATTGTGTTAGCGGCACAAATCACTGCAAAGTGAGGCTTAATTTGTTCGCAAACTATTTCGCACCCCACCCCACGCCTTCGCCCCTAACGCCTAACATCCAGCACCCAACACCCAACACCCAACACCCAACCTCCAGCCCCCAAGACACAGTCCAAGTTCCAGTCCCAACGAAGAGAAAAATATGTATTTGTATATGCGCTTAAGCTGCTGACGCAGAAGAATTTTATCTATCTAATGGTAAATCCAAGTATTATCCAAGTATTTTTCTCTATCTGGGGAGATCATTTCACACATTTATTCCTTTATTTCCTTCAATTCCTTTAATTTTATCGCTTCACATTCTTTTCTATTTACCCGCAAAGTCGAGAATTAAAGCAACCTCGATTTGGTGACCCCGATATATGAGCTTTCAATGGACGTTTACTCGCTTTTCAGGCTTTGCCTGAAGATTATTATTATTATTATATACTGCTTAAAAATAGCTGTAGCTACTCAGGCCTTAAGCTTAAGCTCAGGGTAAATCATTCAGATGACGAACAATATGTTAACAGATGTTGGGTAGGATTATTTACAGATTTGCAGCTTTGGTTATATATTGTGCAGGATTTTTGAGTTTTCTAAGAAATTCAGGATTATTGTGGTATTTGTGTGGCTGAGGTTAGCGATATATTCCATTGCCGTATAATATCATAACGAAAGCGAATAAGCTGGAGTGGCTCACTTCCAAAATTGAAAAGTACATAAATATATTTGCGATAAATAATAATACTTTATTCACAAACAATCTAATATTCATGGGTATTAGTGGAATATCCCTGAATATTTTGTACAAGCCTCAATTTTATTAGAAACAAACGATGTTCACTGTACTGTAGATTCCAGAATACTTTATTCGCAGGGAAAACCAACAAATTCGATCTATTTTGTGCACATGAAAATGGCATCGTTGTCGATCATTAGACATATGTACACATGCATATGATTAAAAGTATCTTCAAATATGGAAAGGTACACGAGTACCATACACACCCACACCCACGCCCAATGACCTTTGTCGGCGTTTCGCGTGCTTTATTTTTCGCACATTTTACCAACGCCAGCGATTCGCATTTTTGCGAGATTTATTTGCATATCCCTGGCAGAGCAGAGCAGAGCAGAGCAGAGCAGAGCAGAGAACATGCATACAAGGGGGGCCTTGTCCCCCCCACTCCACTCCACTCCACTCCACTCTACCCCACCCACTCCATTCCGTTCCGTTCCATTTCGCTCCATTTTGAGGTATTTTTAATCAGGCACACGCGAAATTTGAAATTAAATAGGTGACATGGGGTGGTTGATTACAGGAATCAATAATTCGACTGCTGTACCTCTCGTTGTATATCTCCAGCATATCCGTCGCCATTGTCATCGCCGCCTTGGCCGGACCCCAGTGGCTCTTCACCGAGGAGAAGCTGCCGAATCTCAATTACAACGGAACGGCCAACTTCAACGCTCTGGACGATGGCGCCTACATCACCAAATACACAAAGTCCAGCCTCTGGATATTGTGCACAACATTGCCAGGTAAGCATCTCATCCAAATTGAGATGAACGTGATGGACCCCCGACAGACACGACGGACTCCACAGAGACACACACATTGCTACCTGCAGAGGTTGAACAATGAGAGATTGCGGACACGGCGTGTGGCCTTAATGAGAGCTAGACCACTAGGGCCAGACCACAGAGCACAGACCCTCTGACAGTCAATCCATTAATTAGTGGAATTTAATTGTTATTTAATAATTTACTCGACGAACAAAAAAATAAAATATGTAGAGAGAAATAGAGCGATCAAGAGCGGGAAGTCATCTTTCGGTAACGTCCCGATTGTTGTGGAGAAGGTGGCAGAATGCCGCCCAGACATTGTATGAGCTGAAGGACGACTGTGCGCATGCCCTGCACATCGTCGCGGGCGATGAGCAGGCTGCTCGAGGCATAGCCACAGCGCAGTACATAGTCGGCCACATGGTCGGCCATGCACATCAGGTGGATGCCGGACTGGTGCTCCTCGTCGTGTGCCTGCTGCAGGCAGCGGCCCACCACTAAGCTGTACTCGGACAGGGCCAGGGGTATGCGCAGGGCATGGAGCAGGGCCCCCACCAGGTTCTTGTGGCTGTTGTCCAGCGAATCGTAGTAGAAAATCTTTCCCTCTGGCCGGGCGATGAACAGCAGGGACCAGTGTTCATGGTCCACATGGAAGGCCCCCGTCTGGCTGCACAGCGGCAGCAGGATGAACTTCTTCTCGTGGAGGCCGCTCTCGCGCATTTGGCGCTTCAGGACACGCTGGTCCATCTGGCGAATGCTCTTCACCAGCGCCGGCTGCATGAAGTACACGTCAGCCTGCGCCTTGTAGCGTCTGCTCTGCAGGTAGGCAAAGTAGAAGGCGACGAGTCGCTCGTTCACACCGCCTCGTACGTTCTGCAGCAGCTTCACGTCCGTGTGCAGCAGCGAGATGTCCTGGAAGTGCAGCGACACCAAGCGGTCCTTCTCGCCCTTTCCCGGCCCATCGCCGGACCCTCCTTCTGAACCCACTTTCCGGAACCTGGCCTGCAGCGGCTGCTCCTGCTGCTGCTGCACCTTGATCCTGCTGGCCGAGATGGGCTTTCGTCCCAGAGTTGTGGGCTGTAGTTTCTGGATCGAAGATCCCGCCAGCGGCTGCTTCTTGGCCGCTGATGGTTGCTTCGCAGTACGCATTCTGTTGCAATATAGTTAGATCGCTCTCGATGTCGCTGTCAATGTCGCTATCGATGTCGCTATCGATGTCGCTGTCGATGTCGATGGAGGTGTGGTTTCTGTTTTCAGTTTTTCTGTGTGCTGTTTTCGGTTTCGTCTACGAAACGATTTTGTCTGTTTGTCTGCTTGTGTGTGGCTCTTGAGTGTAAAATCGAAATACTGGGATTACATTTTCAAAAAGTCTTCAAAATTCTTGACAAAATTTTGTTTTCTTTACACCGAACTTTCCCATTGAGTTTCTTGTCAAATGAGTAAATGTGGTCATATCTCTGGGGGTCTGAGAACTCTCTTATTTGCTGGAATTTGTCCTCATAGATGGCATCTACTAGGAACGATCTTATATCTACGATATTATCGTATTTGAAACCGATTTCCTTTGAAAATGTAATTCATTCCAGGCCCCATATATGTCCCGTTTTTTTCAGCGGCTTGTTGCCATTTTGAGGATAAGTTTGTTCGATATTAAGATGTTCGTGGTACTCCTCGTCAATCCCTTGAAAACTGCAATTAATTTCGAAGTACAAGAGTGCAAACAAAAGGTTTATTACATGTAGATCTACTTACCACATTCTAGACTCCCAGGACGCTGATCAATCCCTTTAAAAATACAACTAGCTTCAAGTTAAAAGAGACTCCTCTCTAGGACTCAATGGACTGGTCCTTGCATTACTTTTCAGTTCTTCTAAGACTCTAAGACTAAGGAGGACACTTTCCGGCTCGTAGTCTCCTTGAATTGCTCTTCAGTTCTTCTAAGAACAAAAAAAATATAATTTTGGTTAAAATATATAGAATACATATGCATTTTCCTTACGTGTTTTGCAGGTCTCGATGTGGACTCGTATAATTGCATCAAAATTGACTATTTCCCCAACGAGGGCTACCAGCCGGATCCGCATGACTCGACGCCTGCGATACCCTGTAAGTGGATGAGATGTGGGGGACTATTAATGTGCGACTGCGACTGCGACTGCGTCTGCACTTCGTTACGGTTGGCAATCAACTGGCTGCAACTGGCTTAAAGACTCTCCTCTCCTCTACTGTCCGCCTGGTCTCTGCATTTTGTACTGCATTGTACTGTGTACCTCCCCTGTCTAGGCCGAATTGGAATTGATTTATTGCTTGTGGCCAACGCACACAATCTTTCGATAGGGAGGGAGAGACAGTGCCTTTAGTTGGCTGAATTTTAATTAAAGACTTTTGGCCTCTGTTCTGCTGAAAGTTTTGTCCATATGATTTGCGGTGTCCTGTCCCCACAGACACATAAACAGACACAGACACAGACACAGACAGGGACTGCCATAGATTGTATGGCCCGCAGGGTTCAAAGGGTGCAGCCTGCCACGAGCCTGACAATAGTTTGAACATTCTGAAATTTTCCATTTAATGCACGAACAGGAAAGAAAGAAAATTTCAGCCCTGCCGCTGCATTCGCATTCGCATTTGCTAAATAAACTTTTGAAATGTTAAATAAGGATATGCGCGTGTGCCTGTGCGTGTGTCCTTCGTGACAATTCCAAGAGAGAGAGATAGACCGAATGGAATTTCATTAATTTTCGCACAATTGGCCAAGAGCCAATATACCAACCATAGATTTGAAATATTTTCATTAATTTCGCACCGAGGCCCCAACTGCCCTACTGCCTGCCTGCCTGCCTGCCTGCTGCCAACAAAACAGGGGCAATGCCTCAAAACTAATTTCAAACTCGCCGCGGGTGACAATTTCGCAAAAAATAAAACTATTAGTCGGACAACAACCTCCAAGGGATGTGAAGGGTGCGGAGGTAGATGTGGCGCCTCGCCGGGGTAGGTGTGATGATTTTTTGAAGCCTTGCGGCGGCATTCACACAATGGATGTGTCCTCAGTCGTTTGACTTTCGCACGACAGGGCACCACAACACCTTAAATGGTGGCCCCAAGCAGAAAACGACAATTTCCTTTAGAGTCATGGATGTAAATACGTGTGGATGTGTACATGTGTAGATCAATCCTTACCGTTCCATTCTTTGGGTATTCCAGCATTCCTCGGCCAAGTCCTCATTCTTTGCCACCCGTTTTTCTCTTGCGAATGGGTTTCCAGCTACAAATAGGTTTACAGATCTATTAAATATCGGATAAAACCATTCGTGGGGCTTTGGATCACATACATATACGTACGTACGAATCGACTCACTTGGAATGTATATATGTCAGAGACTATACGATACCCAGATGTTGCATCAGGAACGAAACCAAAAAGTTGATCTGTGGCAGGGTTTCTATGACGCCCCGTAGAAAGACGACGCTCGCGCTGCCTACCTACTGGGGTTCGGCTGCTCAGCTCGTCTAGGTCCTATAATTTTGTAACGACAAATACACAGTCTTTGGCGACGCACTAGATCGAGACTCGAGGCCCTTTTAGGTCGCAAGATTTCAAAAGCAACTACTTAGCTTGGGCTTGATTCAGCACATGGATGCTGATGGTCTTTGGGGCCCGAAAAGCTGCCTTTCGACGGGTACTTTAATACTCTAGTACTCTTACTCTTTTACCTCTAAAAGCTAACTTAGGTTAAGTGGTTTTTGGTTTTTGGTTTTTGGTAAGGAACAGTGGAAATCTAATGAGATCAATATCAATGTCTAGAGATATATAGTATATATGTATATACCTACAATATATAGTACGAAAGAAGGGTCTATACTCTCTTGTTCCTTTACAGATACGGTGACCAAATCGTGCCCCATCTTCCTGGCCGCTGGCGTCTTTCTGGTCATCAGCTTCATTGTGTTCCTGATCCCGACATGCTCGCACCAGAACAATCTCTTCTACTTCAGTGCCGGGATACTCTTCATTGTCAGCGGTACGATCGGAGGAGACCCCGACCGAGCGCCTGCCCATTCGTGGGCTCGCTCGTGATTTTTTGTGATTAACAGAGACATTTGTCCACTTGCAGGCCTGGTGATGCTCATCGGACTGATTGCGTATATATCCATACTGAAGGCGGAGATTGGCTCCAAACTGCGGCCGCGCTCCACCCTCCAGCCAGCCCTCTTTAAGGTCACCTACGGCCAGAGCTTCTTCCTGTTTGTGTTTGGTTTCATCGTCACAGAGTTCGTGGGAGTCCTCAACATCTTCTTGTTCATCAACCTGCAGGAGATCAGCTACTACGGTGTGGGTATTCTTTTGAAATTCAATTCATACCTTCAACGGTTTCGGTTTCCTGAGACTCTTCGTTTCGCCGATCGTTGCAGCGCCTGCCCTGCTTCAGTGTGGCCAACATACATGCCAAGATCAAGGAGGGCCAGCAGCATCCACTGAGTCACTCCTACAAGCGATACAAGCAGCCCGGAGCCCAGCAGCAGACAGGCAGTCAGGACACATTGAACCAAAGCCATCCTCCAGCCATCCATCAGCAGCAGCATCAGCATCAGCAGCAGCAGCAGCAGCAGTCGCATGAATCGTATCAGCCGCATGTGCAAAGATCCCTCAGGGGCACCACCAGTTCCAGGCAGCATCAGGTGCACGACGCAGGACGGACTCCCAGCCAGACACAGACCCTTCCAGGGGGCTATGCCTGCCGCAAGCATCCGAATGTCGCCTCCAATCTCTATCTGCACAACGACCTGGAGCGTCGGTGAGTAGAAAGAGTCATCTAGAAGTGTAAGTATGTATACGTCCCATCCTTGATCCCTCTGGCAGCTTTTATTTTGAGAAACCGGCGGTGTCGAAGTGCAATCTCCATTCGCGCAGCTTTGCCAAGTCCCTCAACGAGCTGTCCGGCCCGACACCAGTGCCGCTTACGCTGCCGGCTCCTGCCCTGTTCGCCGATCTGCCACAGGAGTTTCCGCTCACCCGCTCGGTGTCGACCACCACAGATATCTACAGCACACCGCCGACAGGTGCTGCTGCTCCAAGCACTGGCCAGCTGAAGCGGAAGCAGCACCGGAACATGGCTACCAACACGCACCACATCCAGCCGCAGTCGCAGCACCAGAAGGATCAGTCGCGTCTGTGCGGGCTCAAGCGGGGCCTCCGCAAGACCAAGGATGAGCTCTTCCAGGAGTTCTGTCGAAGGGCTGGGGTTCTGGGGCGGGCCAAACCGAAGAACATCTACTACATCAGTGGCGGCGAGGAGGAGGAACAGCAGCAGCAGCAGCATGAGCAGGAGATCGACCAGGATGCGGCTGTCCGGCAGGATGACGACGATGCGGACGGAGATGATCACGGGTTCCGTCAGTACCGCGGTGGCATGGAGGAGGACCAGCTCTACGTTATCGGAGGTGAGAAGTCGTCGAATTCATGAAGATCCATTGGGTAATCCATCTTCTGAACAGATCACGCCCAGCTGGTGGGCCCCAGACGTGCCTCGATGTGCCCCCTGGACGCTCCTCTCGGCCATCCGCTGCGCAAGCTCAACTCCAATCTCTCGCTGCACAACGAGACGGTCTGGCCCGGCGCCGCCTTCGCCTCGGGCCAGCTGAGACTGGCGCCTCCAGAGCAGGCCCAGAGTCGCACCCTGCCACGATGCTTCCTGCGACAGTCGGCAGCGGCCGGCAGCCAGGACAGCCTCGGCTCCCTGCAAAGCGGCATCAGTTTCAGTGCCAGTCAGCAGCGATTCAACCACCTGATGATGCAGCACCAACAGCAGTTGCAGCATCAGAACCGCTACCTCTCCACCTTGACGCTGCCCAGGCCAGCGGAGGAGCAGCAGCCGCAGCCGCAGCAGCAGTTGCCCCCCAAGACCCAAGTGGTCCAATGGCCAGCAGCCATTCCATCGTCGCCCTCCAACTACGGCCACGGCGGATACCAGCAGCATCCGCAGCCACTGTATCCCGCCACAAGTTCGAGTGCAAGTGCAAGTGCGGGCTCTGCCGCTGGGGCTCATCCACCGAAATTCCAGCGGGGCTATGCCTTCGACGATGCCCAAAGGCGGGCGAGCTTCGCCGTCAACGATGCCGCCTTCGATCTGGACGAGATCGAGCGAGAGCGGCGACGCTCCCATGCGAGTCTCTTTGGCCAGAATCTCGATCCCTACGATCTGATCAACGGAACGGCAGTGTAGACGCCGAAGCATCCCCAAAGAGAGAGAGAGTTACCAGAGCTATCCCACTTTCCACCTATCAATCTGTTATTTATCTACCAAAAACTACGTAAAATATGAACTGAATAAAATCCCCCTTCAAGACTTTGGCTTGGAATTGAGTGGCGCATTTATTAGGATCTACCTTAGGGCTTCTTCGGTTACAGATTGCCTCTCTCGATGGAGCTGTTCGCATAGTCTACTCATAGGTTCAGGCGCTTCCAGAAGTTGCGGCTGTGGATAATCTCCGGACTGACAGGATGATGAGTCGCATGAGTCGTATCGTCTAGCACCAGTCCCTCGTAGATATCTGTAGTTCGGTAATGACGATGGCTGCTGACGGCAGAACTGCTGCAGGTGGAGGAGCTCAAGAGGAGAACGTCTTCGGATGAATGGAAGTATTGGTGCTGCTGTTGGCGTGGCTGTTGCTGTTGCTGTTGTGGTGTGGGTGCCGTGTGGGGGCGAATTGTGCCTCCATCTGCTGCTCTTACTCCTCCTGCAGTCCCTCTACAAGTGGGTGCACTGACGGGCCGTATTGTGGATCTGGGCGGCGGCTGTGGTTGTGGCTGTGGCAATCTCTGATCTGGTGGTTTCCTGGCTCCGCCTCCAAATAGCTGCTGCATCTTGGCCATGGATTGCTGAAGCCGCGTGCTCGGTGGAGCTGCTCTGTCCATCTCCGTCATCTCCATGCCTGGAATGTTAATATATGGCTGGAACATATCGCTGGCGCTGCTTCTGCTGCTGCTGGTGAGGGTGCTACTGATGCTGCAGTCCAGGAGACTCGGACGTCGTGCAGGCGGCTGCTCATTCAATCGCATCGCCTGCTTAGCCCGACGCATGAGGACATCCAGATCCTCGTGGCTGCTGCTGTTTGTGGCAGATGTGATCTCCGGCAGTAGGTGGTTGGTGCGCGTGAACTCCGACCTCACACGGCAGAGTATCTGCTGTGTCTCCTCCTCCACCTGCGCCACCTTCCGACTGACCCTCGTGGGGCTCGTCGTCGTCCTTGGCTCAAAGTCCCTGCCCAGCAGCTTTCTCCTGGCCACAGCTAACGTATTGGTGAAGTGATAGCTGTCTGGCTCCGGCGTCAGCGTCCTCTGCTCTATGAGCTCCTCCATTTTGGCCACAGCTGCCGCATCCTCGAACCTCCTTCTTGTGGGCTTCATCTGCTTCTTGGATACACTGGGCTCCGGCGGTCTCTGACGTGCCCGCTCCAGATAGTCGAGGAAGTTCTGCTCCAGCAGATCGCTCTCCTGCTCCAGCTGCTGCATGCGGTTCTTGACACTGACCAGGTCGTCCTCGAAGCACGAGGCTTTTGTAGGTGCTGCTGGTTTTGGTGCTGGTGCTTGATAAGACAAAGACATTGGTTGATGCGATAAAAAGGGCATCGCTAGAGGCACAGATAACGTAGGTTTAGGCGGAGAAGCCGCGACTTGAGGCAGAGAAGCCGTTGTTTGAGGCGGCGAGGATGAATTCGTATTTGGGGTCACAGTGTGTCTGCTGGGCTTCTGAGAAGGTGGCACCACAACAATTGCCGGCGGAGGTGGAATCATCTGCTGACAGGAATAGGGCGTTGGTATGTCTTCCATGGGAGCTGCAGGAGGCACCGCTGTTGGGGAGGAATGACTCGTACCCGTTGTCACGGAGTGGGATGCGGCCGAGGTCCAGTTGGGAACCTCTGGTTCCTGGCCAGAACTCAAATCTGGGGGCATAAAGCGAACCGGCGTCTCGACGGCCAGTTCTGTTTCATGGATCTTGGCGGCGAGGAACTTCTGATGGTCCTCGTAGTGTTCCAGCAGGTTGAAGATCTTCTGCACCAGTTCCCGTGCCTCGACCGAGCAATGAGAGTCCCTTTGCACGTGGCGGCAGAGTGTCTGTTTTGGGGGGGAGGGAGTTCCAGGCGGATTAGTGGAAGATCAAAGGAGAAGGAGGCCGCTTACTCACCCGCCAGGAGCTCTGTCGGTGGTTGAGATGCAACATATCGTACTGGTGGCGAAATCTCTCTTGGTAGATATCGCCCAGTAGCTTCTTCTGCAGCTCGTAGGCCTTTTTCAGCGACAGCTCCACGCGCTCTAGGAAGATCTTACCACTGGCACTGTGCAGCATCTCGTGTATCCACATTTCGTAGGTCTTTGTGTCTGCAGTCACCTTCGTTTGGGTGCCCTTTGCCACTTGGTCCTTGGCGAGAGGCTTCTCCTTCACCGTCTGGGATCCCACAGCCACTGTGGCCAGACGCTTCTCGATCTGGATCGTTTGGCATGCCACTGCGACGTGGCCGGCAGTTTCCCTCTGCATCATCGTTTGGCATGCCACAGCAGCCACCTGGGTCAGAGGTTCGTTCTGGTTCATCATTGTTTGGCATGCAACGTCCCTCTGCAGCTGGACCTTCTCCTTCTTGGTTTGAGTGGATGCATGTTGGCTATGGATTGGTTCCGCCTGGACATCCACATCCCGGAATGTACTGGGATGGGGCTGCTTGCCCTCCTGGACGCCTATGTAGTGGCCATGCGCGAATCCCTCGTGGTAGCCGGCCCTGAAGCCGCTGTGCCTGCCCACCGCATACTCCTGCTCCATGGATATGTGGACCACGTTGATCAGCAGATTGACATTCACGCACAGCTCCGCCACGGACCTTTCTATCTGCTCGAAGGTCTGGACAATTGTGGTCGGATGTGCCTGCTTCGCCTTGCGCACCAGTCCCACCAGGCTCTGGCGGATGGTGGCCATGAAGGCTACTTGCTCCGGGAAGAGTCGTGGCACATCCGGCATTTGCACCTGCATCTCCGGCAGCTTGATCACCCCCTCTCCCGTGTCGACCAACGAGTCGTCCTGCTCTTGGGGAGTCGGCAGTTCAGGCTCTGGTATCGGTACGGCTGTCTTTTCCGGTGCCAGCACCTTTCCGGCCTTGCGCAGGCGCTCTCGCTCCTTCAGCTCGACCTGGAGCATGGCCTCGAGAACGGGCTGGGTGATGATCTCTACGGGAGGGCCACAAGACGCCGAGAGCTTGCTCATATGCCGAATCAGATCGCTCAGTCGCCGCTCTATTGAGTGAATCTTTTGGCAGAGGCGTGGGCCCACGAAGACCTTTCGGGAAGCGTCGTACTCTATCACGGGTACCGTTTGTATGTTCTTCTCCGTCTGCCTTGGCATCTCCTCCGTTGGAGGTAAATTCTCCCCCATCAGGACACGAAGCAAGGCTCCTAGCAGGCTCTGACCCTCGCTGGGGGATTGAGACGGCTCCTGGTAGTAGGTGCGCTGCACCGCTGCCCTGAACGTGTCCCGTCCACCAAGTAGAACGCTGAGAACGTCCCTCACATCGTCCTGGCTGAAGCGGAACTCGATGTGGGGTGTCGCTGGTGTGCGACTCCGGTGCGGAATCTCGGTGCAGAACATAGTGAGGGTCAACGGATAGTTCTCCGCGTGCAGGAACTCCGCCACCAGGCTGTGCAGGGCCACGGCCAGCGGGCAGAGCAGAGGGGAATTCGTCCCCTGTTGGGACGCCTTCAGGAGTTGACCTGGAGAATGGGGTTGAGAATTAGACGGTGGGATCATCCTTCAGTTGTCCGGCACTTACCCAGCGTTGTGCTGTTGATGCTGCGGTTTAAGGGCATCGTTTGTTCCTGCTGATGCTCCTCAGTCCTTCTTGGCTCGTCCGCCTCGAAGATCGTACGATCATCCAACAACAGCTCCTCGCTCCACAGCTGATCTCTCTCTGTTTCCGGCTCTCTCTCTTTCACTGCCGCAGCCTCCACTGCTGCCGCCGCCGCTAAAGGCTTTCTTTTAATGTCTGGTTTTCCCTTAGCTTTAAGCTTTCCTTTGTTTGCCAGACTCCCTGGGGCCACTGGTTTTTTCTTGGTCGTAGGATTCTCCGGCAGCGCCGCTGGTCCACTCTCCATCCTTCTGGGGCTGTCCTCCGGCCAGCGTTGGCTGCTACGCGACGACTGCTGCTGCTGCTGGCGCGACCTCAATGCCGCCGACGATGCTGCTCTATTGCGCTTCAACTGCTCCTGCCGCTCGCGGATGTGGGCCTCGTGCTTCTTTTCGCGCTCGCAGGGTGCCCGGCAGTCGTCCTCGCTGCGGCTGCGCCGCTTGGCCCGATAGGAGGCCGTTGTGGATTGCATGGACGACGCTGTGCTGTGTGAAACATAGCGGGTCTTCATTCTTCCCGCCTCGCAATCCTCCTAGAGGATCCGCTTGAAGTATTGGTTAGGTATTTTCTGGTCCCTGACTCTAATGTGTGCCAGTGGTGCTTGCCTGTTAGCAAATGAATTTTCGGAATGAGTTTCCCCTTTGACACAACGAATATAAAGAAACGTACATACAATTTCGGTTATTTGTGAAAATTGTGACAGAACTCACCCTCGTTGCTAGTTGGGTATGTGGCGGCAGGTGGCAGGTGGTGGCAGGATCGCCGTGTGCAGTCATCCGGCAAATGCCACAGTCCTGCCACAACGGCCAGAAGCACACGAGGTCACGAGAAACATCCCAATCGACAATGAAAATAAAACCATATCCCAGCTGTACGAAATAAGCTGTATGTCCGTATTAAATGTATGGCTGAACAATTGCTTTAAAACAACCACAAAAAAATTACGGCACTAAAAACACACAAAAAACCACATTAGTTCACCCGAAATTCCGCAAAAAAGTAACTTATGCACATATTAAAAAAAAAAACAACTCAAAATCGGGAAAGCAGTTGAAATTCAAATAATTTCTGGCATCTGGGAATGTATCGATATTTATCCAGTATCCGATAATACCAGCAACATTGCGACTGTTTTTTTTTGTTGAACTATTTTGTTTAAGCCTTGTTTTAGCCAAAAAAAAATAAAGGCAAGGACCAAAAACTAGCCAATCTTAAAGAAAATGTATTCATTAATGGCCTAAAATTATGTGGGCAGAGCTAATGGTTTTAGTTAGGCAGCATTATTCAACGGAATAAAGAAATTGAACAATTGGAACGATATTTCTCTTACGTTTCATTTGTTTGAAAATTATGTAGAAAATTGATTTATTAATCGGATAAAAATATGTGGGCATGGCTAAATTTTCTATATAGCTGGGAATATTTGACGGAAGAAAGAATAACCAAGAATTAGTCGTCATAACCGGTTGACAACAATGAGTCCCATTCCATGCACACATACCCTGGGGGAAATGGATGTATAGAATTGTGAATATGTTTGTCATCCCAGGCAAAAACCATTTATTTTCAATATAATTTAATATTATTCAATATTATTTAATATTATTTTCAATATTTCAACGATGTTTTAAAGCTTATTGTCTTCTTGTGGGGACCAAGAATAGGTATCACGATCGAGATATATATAAAAAATGTCAATTTGAGAAAAGGTCTTTATTAGTTACGTTTATTTTTTCATATCAATATTCATATTTTCATATAAAATTTACAAAATAGGGTATACAAAGTCCTATACTACAGCTTACACGCAATATAGCGACTCTTTTTTTGTTGAACTTTTTCGTTTAAACCTTTTTTACAGTAAAGACAATAAATGCAAGGATTAAAAACTATCCAATCTTGTAGAAAATGTATTCATCAATGGGATAAAACTATGTGGGCATTGCTGAGAGATTTAGTTAGTCAGCATTATTCAATGGAATATCAAAATTGAGCCATTTCCTTTTTCGTTTGTCTTGATTGACCTATTTCGCTACTTGTTTTTTGTTTGACTTATATCGCTAAAACCTTTTTTTAAGCAAAATTCAATAAAAGCAATTATTAAAAATAAACCAGTTAAGTAGAAAATTGATTCGTCAATCGTATAAAATTATGATGGCATCGCTAAATGTTCTATATAGCTAGTAATATTCGACGGCATATCAAAAACGAGGAATATGTAAAATATAACTTGAGTTCGTCAGTATATTTACGGTATATTTTTTAGTGAGCCGGTATATTTTGGTATACATTTTTGAGGGTGGGACGGTATCGGTCACACTAGAAACACACTGGAATCAACAAAGGTCTGCGTCTCGCAAAAAATTTAAAATAGAATTTTGCCTCAAATGTCGTGGTCGTGATCCGTCTTCTATTCTTTGACTTGGCAATTTTCACCTTCAAAAGGCGGGCGGCCAAATAATTCCACGCTACTCACGGGTAGCATGGTAACTTAAACCCTAAAAACAAAAAAAATTTTTTTTGGTGACAGTGCATAAAATGTATTTTTCGCATCAAAAATATTTCTGCTTTCCATTGAAACGACCCTTTTGTCTACAGCTAAAATAACCCCAATCACCATAACACCATTGCTGTGTGTACGGCAGAGAGGATTTCTATACAAAATTTACCGTACATTTTGGTAAATATTGTCCTGTATTTTGCTCTGTTCTGCTCGCTCTGACGTGGTTCTTAATGCTTGCGCATCCTTCCATTGCAGTTAAAGTCATGTCACACATTGAAAATGTGTTTAATCTGGTGCGGGCCCGCCTCCAGGCAGAGAAGGTGAAACTGTGGGAGGAGCCGTACTACATGGAAGGCGTCGGCAGCATTGAAATTGTGATGGAGGTAAGAGTGCCATGAATTGCTGTATATCTTTGGTCTTGACATCTGATTCTTTCCACAGGAGCTGGCCAAGCGCTACGCCCAGTTCCTTGGGATCGAGGTCTCAAACTGCATGAGCGCCCTTAGCGAGCTGCAGGACCATGCCCTGCGCAAGTTGGCCGCCCGCCGTGAATTTAGCGAGACGGGAATGGCCACCTTCAAGGTGCGGCGCATCGATAACCGCAGCGGCACCACCACTATGCTGGAGATCAAGTGTGACCTGAATTCGCTGGGCTCCGAGCTGCAGGCGGCCATAGCTGCCAAGCTGCAGCTGAGCAATGCCCAGCACGTCAAGTGCATCGCATCCGGGAAAATGGTAGCGCCAAACGTCACGCTAGGAGCACAGAGTCTGAAGAATAACCAGGCTGTAATTGTGATCATTGGCCAGGGCGATAACAAAAATGCTGGCCTCTACGAGAGGCTGAACAAAATCAAGTCTGATGTGGAGGCGGTGGTAGCGTCGCAGAACCGCCTGATGGAGATGGAGGATCAGGATGGAAATCCAGTTTTTCTACCACCCGAGGAGAACCGCGCATTGTTGTTGGCCCTCGGCTTCTGTGAGAAGGCCAAGGCGGCCATGCAGCGGGAGGATTACGAGGAATCGCTGCTCCTGCTGCTCGAGGGCGACGAAAAGTTTGCCACCTGCAAATCAAGCTTCCTCGAGTCGGTGGACAATTTTGCGCTGCTCAATCTGGACATTGTCTGGTGCTACATGTGCCTAAAGAACGTCTCCCAGCTGCCCGACGCGGAGGCGCGATTGGCGATCTGCGAGCGCAGCTTCCGCCGCAGCTACGGTGACAACTTTGAGCGTCTGTACGCCCTCAAGGGGCGCGACTGCCCCGAGCGGGCTCTCTTTATGCGCCTCAAGCTGCTGCAGGGAATCGTTCTCTTCCACCAGAATCGCCGCGACGAGGCCTTCGAGAGGTTTGAGGCTGCCTCCACGCTGCTCAAGGAACTGAAGGTCGACGAGGACAAGCTGCTGCTACTGATGGAGATGGGCTTCGGTATGGGCGAGGCCAGGCTCGCTCTGCGCTCCTGCTCGGGCAGTGGCGGCAACATTGACCAGGCCGTGCAGTTCATTCAAGAGCGCAAGAAAAAGCTGAGCGATGCCCGCAAGCACTCCAAGAAGGAGCGCAAGGTCCATGGCGATGCCAACAGAGAGAATGCCAAAGATGAAGGCTGGGTTAATCCACGAAGTGTTTGCACCCTAGTCGAGATGGGCTTCGACACAAAGTTGGCAACCCTGGCCCTGCGGCACACCGAGAACGACATAGCAAGAGCCGTGAGTTCCCGTCCCCGATACTAGTCTGAGTCTGATCCTTAAGAATAGCCTCTAAAATGTTTCACTCTTTCCAATTTGCAGCTGGATATGCTGGAGAAGAACTCTGCTGCGCTGCATGCCGCCTTGTCCGAGACCTGTACCGACATCCGTGCGGATGAGAACCAGATGGCAGCCCTCCAGCTGCTGGGCTTTGACGAGGCGACGATTCGCGCCGCCCTCGAGAGCACTGGGAACAGCGTTGAGGGGACCATTGAGTTCCTGCTGAAGGCCCTCCAGAGCGAGTCGAAGCTGAAAGAGTTTCTCGAGGGGGTCAAACAGCTGGCGAGCGACGGTATCGACGGACCGTCAACCTCTTCGCAGGCCCAGAACTCGTCGATCATTGCCTTGGTGATGGCGAAGGCGCGCGAGCTGGAGTCGCTCAAGGCCTACGAACGCTTCCATTCGGATATTAGCCAGAGCGACCAGGACTATCTCGATCTGCCGCTGATCCATGAGGAGCAGCTCCTGGGCGAGTATCGTCGCCTGCTCGAGCAATAAGCTGCGCAAGCGAAAACAATTGTAAACGGCTGGAGCGGCTATAAAATGATTAGAATTTCGATGGAGAACCGGTTGTGGCGATAACTGTAATCATGACTTGTCTATTGCAAATCGTCGTCTTATAAATGCCACTTAAGTGGCACTCATCCACCCAGCCCTCCCTCCCGCTACCCGTTACCCGTTACCCACCGTGTGCCGACTGTGGACTGTATGTGTATGTTTGTGTTTGAATAACTTGGCAAATACTAACAATATAAAGACTTACAACGAGATATATGTATATAAAATGTATAGATATAGTATATATTCTATTGACAGCTGCGACAATGTGATTACGCTGCTGCCTGCAGCCCGTTCCCCTCCGGTCCAGGCCGTTCCGTTCCGTTCTATCGCGAACCTGTTAACGTCTTTTGCAATTACTTATTGAACATTTTGTTGTCTCCTGACTTTCGATCCCAGCCAAGCAGCTTCCAGAAACGTGGCTAACAGCGAACCAGCACCAGCACCAATCCCACTCTCCATCCCTCTCCGACAAATGAGACTGGATATACGGCCATATTTAGTTATATTTCTGTGATAGGTCGGTTGCCTTACCATTCAATGAATAAAGAATACAGAATACAAGCCAAGAAGACGATTGGCCTTTGGAAAGGTCTCTGGAACGTGTGGCTGTTCTTGAAGTTAAAGGTGAAACACATATAGTGATAGGAAATGTAGGAAAGGAATCATAGATGGATTAAGATGATAAATTATAAGCAAGTGAAGAACCAACCTATAATAAATCCTTTGGTGACATGTGTATATGTCCAGAGTCTTAATGCTCACTAAGACAACTTTAACCCTTGAGATTGGTTAACTTTCGTTTGTTCAATACGATGCGCTGCCGCATGACGCGCGACGTGCTAATCGAACCGATCACGAAGTCATGCAGGAAATATATCTATCTTAGAAAAAAGGAAAATTGGATCTAAACGCAAAAACAATTACTAATTACGAAAAAGGTATGTAGGCATAATTAATGTAATCTGAGAAGAGAAAGGGAATTAGTCCGAGCATAGGACCATCAATGGTTCATGGAAGGAACAACGGTACTATATATATAGTTTCTAGTGGATCTAATAGGAATCGTTTATGGAGCCTATGCGTCTCCAACAAACAACAAACAAACCTGGGCTATCTACGTGACCCCTCTTGACGATTGACTAAGGATGGAGGAAGGTTTATTAAGAGAATAGTAGATAGAATCCTTTAAGAATTATTTTCGGCGCGGTCTATGCTTATAGATCTGCACTTATATGTCCATATATATTCTAGATGGGGAAAATAGGGAGTAGGGAAATAATTACTCGTACATATATGATGATTATTGTTGTGTCAATTTCTGAAAGCGACTTTTGCCCCCTTTTTAAGGCAAACAAAGTTCTCGATCGATGTGCGTGTCTCGAGTGGGTGGTGTCCCGTCCCGCGTCTGAGCTGAGACTCTGCTCCAAGGGGAAGCATTATACGATTTCCTGTTTAAGTGTATATTCATTCCAGAGTAGCCTATAATAAAAAGCTTCAATTTTATTGGAGTCCGAATGATGGGGTCGCTCCCACAGATGAACCCGGAATGATTTCGTGAGATTTATATATCATAAAAAGAGTGCATAGAACCAAGGATTATGGAACAGATATCTGGCATGCATATAGTATGTATGTATGTATAAGTAACATAGCGTGATTTAAGCTTAAAAGTAAGGAACCAACGAGCTTTAAGGACGATGCTGAGAGCATAGGCAATATGTTGCCTATTGCAACATTGCATAGGCAATGTTTGAACGGTTTTAAAGATTTAAGCTAAAAATGACCTAACGCGAATCGGATATTCAATTTTTTGTGATAATATATTAAGTATTGAGCGTTAATTATCCATGCTATTAAATACAAAAACCTTTCTGTTTGTTTCGTTTAAGTCCGCTGACTTATGGCATTTGACATACATATGTATGTACGTTGCCTCATTCCGTGTTAAAAAAAGTAGACAAATCTACCATTAGCCGAGATTGGGTTAATTTTCTGGGATTTATCTTAGATACACAGTTTAATGTTTTTTCTCATAGGAGACCTTTTGGCGGAAATGCCCATATGTCCTGGCCTGGGTCCTTTCTCTTCCTAAGATATTTCTTTGTTTCGGCGGTGATTCATATTCTTTTTTTGTTTAATTGCCTTTAGTTGGGGCTCGTACTTAAGCGATTGCCATCTCTACTCGTAGTAGATATGTGTGTGCTGCTCTTTGTTCTGATAAACAATTTCATAATTTGGTTTTTTAATTTTAATTTTTACTATTTTTGAGCATTTAGTTTTTTACGATCCACGGCGGTGGCGGCAGTGGCAGTGGCAGCGGCAGCGGCAGCGACGGCCTGGCAATAATGACTTTGGCCATTATGCCCAACTGATACGCAACCAAGCGCAACTTTTGGACATTTTTATTTTTATTATTTTGTATTTTCGTTTTCGAATGGGGATGTGAGAACGGTTCTGGTTCTGGTTTTGGTTCGTATAATCCGCCAAGGGGTTCTTCGGGGGTGCGATGAATGCTTAAGGCCTGGCCCACGTCGAAGTTCTGCCTTAGCAAATGGAAAATGGGAAATGGTTTTGGTTTTTCTTCGGGTGCCACTGCACTCGACAATTGAACAAATTATTGGGAATCATAGGGCTGGCTGTCTGGTTGGCTCTTGCACGATTAGCATACAGCTGTTTGCAGGGGAAATATATATCATTCGGTAGAATCGATTGCCTAAACAGTGGATTCGATTGGAGATGGAGATCTGTTTTGCCATAGTACACGTGCCCCCGTATCTGATATCCGAAGTACTTGACGCATTCCAAGGGAGTTCTTCCTGAGAAAACAGTTGGAAAAAGCTTTGGCTAATTTTTATGTTTTAAGGTGATTTTTTTCTTTCTTCAAAGCTCCCCCAAATGGATGGGGTCACCATCTATGTACTATAATGCAGATTCCTTGCAGATTTCCGCAAAATCTGTACAGTCAGCAGCTCCCCCCGACTGCCCGAATCCATTAGCATATTGGCATATGTAAATGGAAATTAGCTCCAGTCCGATCCCCAGGTACAAAGTACAGATATTACACGGCCCACTGGCCACCGAAATTAGCCTTCATTGGAGACCTCTCTCTCTCTCTCACTCTCTCTCCCGCATTTTGGGTTGGAAAAAGGGTTCACATTTTTCGGCATTTCATTGGAAATAAGTACAGGGATCTGCAGCAGCCGATCAGAACTAGCAATTAAAGCAGCCCCCAAAATCTATAGAGATATTAATTATAGAAATACATACATACATATATCGAAATCCGAGTCTCGCTTCCGTCACGCAATCGCAGATCGGAGAAAGAACAGTTAAGAGCAGCAGCAGAAGGGAGCGACCCGTGGGCAACAACAACAACAAAAACAACACACACCCACACCTACACACAGCCGAAGTTTAAAGTTTTGGAGAGACGAAGCAGCAGCAGCAGCAGCAGCCCCACCGTCGCGACGCGTCGATCGGAGAGCTTCGAACGACGAGCGTCGGGCCCGCTGCTGCGGAATTAAATAATTCCCGGTACGCGCGTTTCGTCAAGCTCAATTGTTGAACTGAACTGGAGGCGGACGGTCGAGCTTTTGATTGAAGCGATTGATTGAGTATTGGTAGTAGCTTTACAAACAATATTTCTGTTTCTATTTTTTTGTGTTCCTGCAAGTGCGTAGCTAATCCGAAGGGAGATGCCCTTGCACTCCCTCCCCCAGCCGCAGCCCCAGCCCCAGCCCCAGCCACAGTCGCAGCCACAGAAGAAGAATTACTGATCTCAGAACCAAACCTCAGAAGAAAACTCGAAGAAAATCTAGACGGTAGTGGAGTGCAGTGGAGTGTGTGGCAACAAAAGCAACAAAAGTGTGTGTGTGTGTTTCGTGTGTGTTTTGCTTGTGTTGCACCTGTGGCATCTGTGGCATCTGTGGAAACCAAGAACCAATAACAACATTCAGTGGGAAGGTAGTCCACCAATTTCGAGCTTCAACTATCGCATAGTAAGTATTTTTCACGTCTGTATTTCCCATTCATTCAATGGGTTGCAACATCAGCCCCCAAAACCAAAAAAAAAATACTCCAAGAAAAATAACAGAAAACAGAAAAGTGCATAGAGATTCTGCTTAGCCATGGGCGAAATGTGTATGCCCTTCGAATTCCAAGGAATCGATCCCTTTTGTCCCTAGCAATCCGATTCAGAAGAAGTTATACTGCAGAAGGCTTGTCAAGAGCTTGACATGGTGACCGAGGTGCGCTGCCGCAGGACGCGAAGCACGTATGCAGTCCCTCGATCTAGCTGGACATAAGGACCCACTGCCCATTGCTTAATCCCTCGGGTGGCTCATGGGCTTCCCTGTATATATATGGACATACATATGTGTGTGTAGTCCTCAGTTTAGTCACACTACCCTTCCCATCTGTCTGCGTGGAAAAAGAGTACACAAATGCGCTGAGGCCTGGTTTGAAAAGCTTTTGGTCTTTAAGAGCGAGAGTGCGAGCGAGAGCGAGAGAGATTGAGGCCCAAACCCAAACCCAAACCGTTCGGTACCAACAGCCGACAGCTGTTTTCAATCGCTATTGCTTTCAACTTGTTATTCAGTTTGATTTCTTGTCCGGGGTCCACGGTCCACCGTCCACCGTCCCCCGTCCATCGTCGTTTCGTTTGGTTTTCTGTGCCTGTTTCTGGATCGGGTTTTCTTGGCACGTTGCTCTTGCTCATCTGCCTTTTGGGCCGCCGCCCCCCACACCAGAAAACAAAACAAAACAAAGCAAGCCAAAGAAAATATGTGGTGTAGTGCGCGCTCGTAAAGCACCGCCAAGCCAAACCAAGCCAATCGCCAAACGAGCAAAAGAAGGTGGCAAAATCGGCAATAAACCAACGAAAGTGAAAACACAAAACACCACGTGCGAAGCACGAATTCTGGATACCCTAATCAGGGATCCGAGAGCGGAGCTCAGTGTTAGCTGGAAAGGGTCTTTTTTAGTATATTTGTTGTTGGTGATCAAAAGGTCCTTTCGACGTCCACCCACTTGTCTTTGATGATTTCAAGTACAATAAATATTTACCTTGAGACGGAGTGCTTCTGCTGCTGTTGTACCCCGTTCTCTGGCAGTGTATTTGCTCCCCTCGCCACCCATCAAACGCATGAGAAATCGCTAACGTGCATATCCAAGTAATTAACACGTTCGAAGTGTTATTCCGAGTCAGAAATCCGGCAAAACTAGAAGGTTTCCGACATTGAATCTAAGGTTTAAAACTTACAAAAAAAAAGCTACTAATATTTGCAACGAAGATCTTAGAGATCTTACTTTGTTAGGGATCTTCAAATACTGTGTGTATCTTTTATCACACGTACTGCTATTCCATCGCTTCTGGTTTGGCAATGTTCTTGCCACATTAACATATTCTTTTTGCATAGTCGGACGACTTCAAAGGCCCTTGAGAAGCAGCAGCAGTAACAGCAGCAGCAATAATCAGAGACTGGTTATCACAGTCAGACGGACAGACAGACGGAGCGACGGAGCGACGGAGCGACGGAGAGACACTCACTTAGTCAGACACTAAACGACGGCGTATCCAGACTTTAATTGCATCGCCAGTTTGTGCACATGTAAGCAATGACCTTGATAGCTGCTGGCGCTGCTTTTAAAGCCTTCTCCAGCAGCAGCAAAAAGTAAAAAAAAAATAAAATAATACAAAATAAATAAGAGTCAGAAGCATTTCCTATGCAGCCAATAACCGCCGCCGCCGCCGCCGCCGCCACCGGCTGCTCTAGAGCTTGAAAGTGTATAAATAAAATATATGCGACATACGTACGAGTATGTACGTGTATAAATACGTTATAGCCAACTCTACGCTCCGCGGTTCTTGCCAACTCACGCTGATCGTGCGATCGATCCATGGCCAACCCATACACACTACCAGCAGAAGCTAGGAAACTAGGGAACCAGGGAACTAGGGAACTAGGGAACTAGAGAACTAGAGAAGAAGAACCCTGTAAATAGTTGCACTTTGATTTACATATTTGTACATACATACATATGTATATTCCATTAAACACCGAGAGAGGAAGAGGTGTTTTCACTTAAATTTTTACCATTAATATGCCACTTCAATTGACCCTGAGATCTGGCCAAGGATGTATCGTATTCTAGCTCAAGACCTATCCCACTCCACCGAGTTGCGATTGCCATAACTTAAGAATTGTGGCACCACCATTGAATAGACATACTCCTCGTATATGCTGGGATATACATACATGGGTAGTACTGGGAATAATCGTACACCAATGACAAGACCAAAAAACCAGAAGAAGCGGGAAAAAACGCGTGCGTTTCTAAACGCGTCACTGCAGCCACACGCGACTTTTGTCGAGCGATACTCGGTACTACTACAATACAATTGATTAAAATTTCTATAGATAAATAGATAGATAGATAGAAGATAGGAGAGCGGGAGAGAGCTCTGTAAATTGGGATAATTGGGATAATCATCAAAACAAAATGCATTACACGACACCACGATTATGGCGGAGAGGAGTGGAATGGAGTTCCAGGGATAGGCATTCCGCCATCCATCCGTCTGATGGATAGACAGGCACAAACTAGTTTCTGGTTTTTTTTTTTTTAATATTTAAATTGTTTTGCTAGACTTGCTGGCTTTGGATTTCTCTCTTCAGAAGAGACTCTCATGGTCAAGGTCGCTCATTCGATTAGATGATAAATGGCGTTTGGCTCACATCCACATCCACATCGTATAACTGTCAGAAGCAAAGTCTCCTCCGCCGACATATGCTTATGAGATATCTTACTGCTGCTCCAGTAGATAATACTACCTCAACGAGTATTAGTATTAGTAGATGATTTAGTGAGGTTGATTCTGATTGTCTGGGAATGCGACTGACAGAAGGTGGCGTCCAAGGTGGCCTCTCCATCTATTTATGAGTGCAGCCTGTCAGTGCGGCTTGAGGGGCTCTAATCAGACGACTCGAATGCAAGGGATCTGATCTCTACGTTGAGCAGCGTCTTCCCTTTCGATTAGATGCGTTTGGGTTCTGGGAATTTCAGCTCTAAACGTGCTTTAAACAAGTTTTGGTTGCACAACACACACACCGCACAGCACACAGCGCACAGCACACACCACACACAGGGTACAGGGTACAGCAGGGGTACAGCAGGGGTACAGCAGAGAAGATTACTTTCAAATCACCATCAAAATCCTGTTTAGCGACTGACTGCATCACAGCACACTTTCTGCTGCTGATTTTCGCTGTGATTTTAATTAGTCTAAAGCGTTGGAAGTGGTCTAAAGTCTGGTTTCAAATACGACTTCGGGGTACGACGAGGGGCGGTGGGTTAATGTTCGACTCGTGTCCCCAAAACTGCTTCCAATTAGAATAAGATCGAAAGCTCTTAGCTACATCCCAACCAACGGCTAGTTAGTCGTAGTAAATACTTAGTACACACGTATGGTAGGTAGTATGTGGGGGTGGGGCACTGTAATTCATAAATTCTCGGCTGTAGTTGTACTACGTTTCATATATAATTACCTTGAAATAATCGCAGCGTAGATCTCCCGCAGTCAGAGATCGCCAGAGATCAGAGCCAGTGGAAAAGTAGAGCATTAGCTGGCAGACCGGTCAATCGGTTAGATAATCCCATCGGTCCCATCCCCCCATCGGTCGATCGATGGTGACATTGGCTCTCGAGAGTGCAACATTATGCTGCTCGTTGGCTAATCAGCAAAGCTGCAACTGCTATTGCAATTGCAACTGCAACTGCAATTGAAACTGGAATAGAAATCTCAAAACTAAAACTGAAACTAAAACTAAAACTAAAACTGGGACTGGAAATGGAAATGGGTATGGGGAACTGGTTCCAATAGCAAACAACTTGGTTGGTGTTTCGGTGTTTCGGTGTTTTTGGGTTTTTGCTCTTATGGGAAATACTCATATTGTTTCGGAAACAGAGAGCCCGAACCCCCATTCCCACATCCAAAAAGAGACAATGGTTTCTGGGGCAGTGGATTCTACAGTGATCAATCGATAGCGCAAATTCGTGGCTAGTAAATGAGCTATTTACACTCCTAGTTCTAGGATCAAGGGTGAAATTCTTTAAAGAATACGTTTGCCGCCCTTTTTCTTAGTGATTAATCGACCGACTGGCATGATCTGATGTATGCCTTCATTATACCCGAGAAGGATCTACAAGTGGTTCACTCTGTCGAGCATTGGCTGTGGCCTAATGTTCTTTTGTGTGTGTTGTGCCAGTCGCCTGGGATTTTCTCACTTTCGATCGTAGATCTAATCGAACCCGTCTGTCCGTACAGGTGGATGACGAGTACTACCTGAAGCTGAACCTGAACATGAACCTGCAGCCGCCAGACAGTCCCAAACCCCAAACCCCAACCCAATGGATGGCATATAGTATGCCACATTGGGGGTACGCAAAAGTCACAAGTCACAAGCTTTGCATACGAAATATGCAACCCAGAGAACAGAACAAGAGTTTGGGTGGGTTTTGCTTCTTTATTATTATTTTATATATCCAGTATGGTGTATAGTATACGTTATAGACGAGCATTATTTGATTTGTAACTGGTTTCGCGAGGTTCCAGCCATAAATCGCGCCGCCGAATGTCTGTCTGGCTGTCTGGCTGTCTGGGTAATGGATGCGGCTCATCTCTGTGTGGCTCCTCCTCCTCTGACTCCCCCTCTGAGAGGGCGGCTGTTAAATCTAATGGATAGCTTCAGCTCTGTGATAGCTCTGTGGTTATGGGAGTGGAAGACATGGAAGGCCAAGAGATACCTGCAAAGATTCAACTCTGTGGTTATCTATATAATTGTGCTGATCGATCGGTCAGTGACTCAGGCAATAATTTAATTTAAATGACAGAAAGCGTGCGCTTTAAAATAATTGTCATCACTTCCACCATCGCTCTTTGGGTGGATTGGATGGACGGTTGGATGGATGGAGGGGGAAGTGCAATTCGAAGGCGAACCACAGCGGAATTAACGGCCTGCCTGAATTAGCAATGTGCAAATCGAAACTAAAACCGTTTCGGAGATACAATCGGAGAGTACACCACACAAAGGAAACCAACGAGCAAACGCGGTAGACAAACACCAGCTAATTATGCGATAGGAAGTGTGTGCATACTCGTACATCATGGCATATGCCAGCCAGAGTTGCAGGCAGAGGAAGTGGCTGGGAGTCGATCGATGCTTCGAATGCCCTTTCCACAGCTTAACAGAATCAGCGTAAATGCTTTCCTATCCACCTTTAGACTAAAAGATGAACAGGTATTACCAGACAAAACCTTAGAATACCAAGAGATATTGGATATCAGGAACGGAGCAAATTCCATTTCAGGGTGCCGGTACTTCAATTGTCTTTTGGGCTGTATCATGTAACTCCATCATGCCCAAGCAATGTATACCGTTTCTAGTTTCTTGGCACCGACTGGGTATCTTGTGGTTGGATTCTGGGGACCGACTAGGCTGCTCAAAGCATTGACGAAGAGACGAAGCACAGAAGGAGATGCAACATCTTGGCAATTGTGCATAGTCTTTGGTACTACCCTCCCTGCTGGGCAAGGGCATACCAAAAAAACCACATACATCTCCCCCGCGATTCGCACGCTTCACACCTTTTGGTAAATCCATTAGCAACCCTTTAATCAACTTCTCCTTCCCTTGCAGGCAAAGATGCATCAATGATTGGACGGTTTCTGAACACCCAGAGAGACCACAACAGTAGTGAGAAGCGCAAAGAGATTTGGAGAGCGAGAGTGAGAGCACTAGGCGGTAATGAGGATGTATTTTAACACGCGGGAGATCCGAGCGCTGCTGCGCAAGGATCTCCTGGTGCGATGGCGCCAGAAGTTCCTCTCCCTGACGCTCCTCCTCTGGCCCGTGCTGATCTTCATGCTGCTGTATTTGATCCGCATGAAATACGGCTCCGAGGAGATAGCCGCCTGCCAATATCCGACCAGACTGCTGCCCACCAAGAACCAGATGGTGCCCAGTGCCTTCTCCTACATATGCAGCATCGAGAATAAGTGCCTGCCATCAGAGCCCTACGAGGAGTACTCCAGATGGAAGGGAGCGCCGTAAGTCAGCGCTATGATTCATGTGCTCCATTCTCCTATCATGATCTTTGTAGACTCCACTCTGTGATCGATGTGGTGAATGCCTTTGTGACGGATGACAAGCTGCACACGGCCGTCGTGGAGCTGGCGGAGAAGGCGAATTTTGTGTCCGCGGTGACGGCATTGATCACCAGCGATAATCTTGAAATTATACGCAGTGAGTGGAGTGGAGTGGGCCTGATCTCTTGCTAGTTTATTGATTTACTTTCTTCTTTTAGCGAATATCACAGAAATCATATCCTTGGTGCCGGAGATCGAGCGCATGATGAACTACAGCTTTGACGTAAAGCATTTGTTTTCTAGTATGTGGCATGGAATGAACCCCTGAATCCTCGAATCGTTAATCCAGGAATCCAAACTGCTATTTCGTTGCAGATCGCGAGACTTTTGTGAAGCTTGGGACGCTGCTGTGCGGGCATCCATTTCCCAGCACGGAGAGCATTCCTTTGGTCAACGACATCCTCTATTCGGAGGACTTTAGCGAGGTCAACGATGTGGAACTGGATGCCATGCCAAGTGAGTATCAAGGGAGGAGGAGGAGGAGCAGAGACAGAAGCAGAAGCAGAAGGCAGAGCAGTGGAACAGACTGGAAGCCAAGTGAGCGGCGGGAAGACTCTATTCCCTTGAGATTATATTTTTTGGTTTTTTCTTCTGACTTACAGCCAAATACTGCAAGCGCCTCTACCTCGACGTGACCTCCACAAACCAGGGCAAGCTCACGTGGAACACCATCAAGCCGATCATCCAGGGAAAGATACTGTACACCCCATCGAATACCCTCACGGAGAGTGTAGTGAAGTTTGTGAGTAAACACAGCGAATCCATCCACATGGCATGTTCCCAATTTGTGTGTTCCCTCCCTCCAGAGCAACGCCACCTTCGAGGAGCTGGACAAACTGAAACAGCTCTCGCAGGCCGCCGGTACGATCCTCACCAAACTCCACACGAATACCACCTTCCAGCTGGCCTTCGATAATCTCCTGAAGCTGGCTCGCTCCCCGCTGGTGAAGAGCGTGGTGGGCGATGACTTTGACATCGTGTCGATCGAGCGGGTGTTCCAGTTCATTCGCACGAATCAGCTCATCTACGACATCCTCACCACCGTCTCGGATCTGATGGAGTGCGTGTCTGCGGACCGCTTTGTGGCTGTGGATAGCGTGGAGGAGCTGCAGCAGCAGGCCTACGATCTCAACCAGAAGCGCATGTTCCTGGCAGCCCTCAATTTCGAGAGCGTCGGAACCAAGGAGGTGGTCTACCGCCTCCACATGGACACGGACAACACCCAGCCGACGTTCGAGAATAGGAACCGCTTCTGGTTTCCCGGACCCGCCGACAGCATGGTCATCGACATGAAGTACCATCGGGGGTTCGTGCAGCTCAAGCAAATGGTGGACCTGGGCATCGTCAAGCACAAGCGTGACGAGGCGGGATTCGTGGAGGAGGAGCCGGCCACCAGGTCGCCGGGCAGTTTGTTCAGCATCAAGGCTGTGAGCGACGACGACGACGACGACGACGACGATGATGATGATGACTTTGACCTGAGTATCGAGAACACCTCCACTGAGGCCAACACTGCACCGATCCAGGACCCTGAGACCCCCACCGCAGCACCCTCTAGAATGGAGCTGGAAACCACAACCTTTAAGCAAGAGTTTCTCCTCTCCCTGGATGATGTACAAGGGGGGGATGGGGATGGCGCTGGAAGTGGGGATGGGGATGTTCTCACCCGATCCAAGCGTCAAGGCCTGCTGGATCTCCTGAGCGGCCTCGGGGGCGCCGGCGGGGGCAGCAAGAAGCCCAAATTCGAGGTGGACAACATGCAGTTCTACACGAAACAGTTCCCCTATCCCTCGTTCGTGAATGACGAGTTCAAGCGAGGCCTCTACCTGTCCCAGGCCGTACAGCTGGCCTACTGCCTGGGCTTGGTAGTGGCCGTGGCGATCTGTGTAAGGGAGCGGATTTGGATGCGAGAGAGCAGGAATAGTATGGTAAGGGACACTCCCTTCTATACTCCCGTATTCTTATGCTGATACACTCTCTTTTTTTTTATTAGTTGATGCGTTCGATGGGTCTCAGGGCTCATTCGGAGCTGGTCGCCTGGGCCTTGATGAGCCTCATGGAGCTGTGTCTGATCTTTGCCCTCGTCAGCCTGGTGCTCTACAGTGGTGGCATCCTGTCGTACACCAACTGGTTCTTCATGATGTTCTACTGTCTGAGCTTTGGCGCCTGTCTCGTCTCCTTCTGTTACATGTGCTCGAACTTCTTCACCTCGGCCAACATTGGTGCCGTGGCCACATCCCTGCTGTTCTTCATCAGCCTGTGCCCCTTCATCATTGTGCTGATGTTCGATGCGAAGCTGAGTCTATTCGAGAGCTTCCTGGTGGACCTCTCCTTCACGACGGCCTTCGCCAAGGGCTGGGGCGAACTGATGCGCATGGAGCTGCAGCAGCAGGGCCTCACGTGGGGCCACTTGATCCACCTGGGTCCAGCGAGGAGCGAGTGCGCAATGGCTCTGCTGATGTTTCTGCTCGACTTTATGCTCTATGCCGCCATTGGCTATGCCTATCAGAGGTGGAAGAAAAGTATGTTACAGTAGAGGACCGGATCGGATCGGATCGGATTCTATTTTATTCTCGGAATATTCCTTTTTCAGCCGAGTACAGCTTCGTGCGGGCAATGAGCTCCCATTTGGACGACAAGCTGGGTGCCTCGCTGCTGAATGTCACCAAGCTCTATGGCAGCCAGTGCGCCGTGTCCAATCTGAATCTGGATTTCGCCCGCAACCAAGTGAGCTGCCTGCTCGGCCGCAATGGGGCTGGCAAGAGCACTCTCATCAAGCTGCTCACCGGCCAGATCCGACCGACGGGCGGCAAGGTGCTGCTCCGTGCCGGCGAGCACAATGTGGGCGTCTGCTGGCAGGACAACATCCTCATACCCAAGCTGACGGCCCGCGAGCATCTGCAGTTGTACGCCCACATAAAGATGCCCTCTGATGGCTCTGCCGAGGTAGAGTTGGAGACGGAGGTGAGTCGCACTCTGAAGAGCCTCAACTTTGGCCAGCACGAGGACTATCCCTCGTGGCAGCTGTCGGGTGGCTATAGGCGGCGTCTCTGTGTGGCCATTGCGTTCATTGCCTCGCCCAGTGTCGTCATCCTGGACGAACCCTGCAACGGGGTCGATGCCAAGGCGCGCAAGGACATCTGGAATCTGATCGAACAGCTGCGCCAGGGCCGTGCGGTGATCTTTGCCACCCACTTCCTGGACGAAGCCAAGTACCTGAGTGATTCGCTGGTCATTATGCGGAATGTGAGTTTGGTCCCACCCAATCTCCCAATGAGATCACTCCCTAATCCTTTTCCTCCTCCTCCTCCTGGTGCCTACAGGGTCGCATCATTGCCCAGCACAGTCGCGACTCATTGCAACATCTCTGCACTGCCAACTACAGCGTGAAGATGCGCTGCGCCGATGCCCCAGTGGCCGCTCACATTGCGGACAGGGGCAAGCAGCTGCTGACCAACAGCCAGGTGCTGCCTGCCACCGAGAATGAGCCCCCCCACAGCCTGACCATCAGCGCCAGCTATGCGGAGAATCTCACCCCCGCAGCCGTGCAGTTCCTGGAGCTGCTGCAGCAGCAGGAGTCGCTGGGGGCCATCGGAGAACTGGAGCTGTCGTCGAGCAGCAGCCTGGAGCAGGAGTTCGAGCAGCTCAATCGCAGCGAGGAGCAGCCACGGGGAGGAGCAGCAGCAGCAGCAGCTCCGGAAGGAGGCGGAGGAGGCATTGTGGCTGGCCCAGCGGATGTGTCCGAGGATCCGCCCTCGTCATGTGTCCAGATGCGGCTGCTGTTTGGCAAGCGACTGCGGCATCTGGCCCGCAACTACCGACTGCTGCTGTACGTGCTCCTGCTGCCTGCGGTGTTCGAGCTGTGCGCCATGTGGTTCGTCAGCTATCGCCTGGAGGATGACTTCGACACGGTCCTGCCGCTCACCAGGGCCCTGTATCCGCACAGCGTACAGCTGCTCAGCGGCGAGAGGCTCACGCCATTCACCGAGCAGCTCTATCCGGGTCTGAGATCCTCCTGCGATCTCAATGATGGGAACGGAAACTTCTCCGAGTGCCGGGAATTCAGCGACTCCTCGCTGGCCTACGATTGGGTGCTGACAACCCTCGATGAGTACCGGGAGCGACGCTATGGCGGCTACTCCGTGAACGGATCGGGGGCCACTGTGTGGTACAACAACAAGGGCTACCACGCGATGATGGCCTGGCTGAACGACCTGAACTCTGAGCTGCTGCGCACCAGCCTAAACGACTCGGAGTACGGGATACTCACCCGCAACGAGCCGTGGAAGCTGGGCTTCGCAGAGCTGAGCACCAGCTCCCTGCTGCGGCAGGCGGGCGACTCCTGCATGGTGTTCATTCTGCTGATCGCCTTTGGCCTGGTGGTGGCCGCCAATGCCGTCTATCTCGTGAACGAGCGCATCAGCGGCGAGAAGCTGCAGCAGCGTCTGTGCGGCGTATCGGCGGTTACCTACTGGCTGGTGGCCTTCATCTGGGACTATCTCATCATGGTGCTGGCCCTGGTGGTTTGCCTGGGCATCGTTCTGGTCTTCAGCATGCCCGTGTTTGTGGCCAGACAGCAGCTGATTGGCATCATTGGACTCTCATTGATGTTTAGGTAGGTCGTCTACCATCTACCATCTACCATCTACATCGTATCTAATCTATTATCTTTATATTGTCTCTAGTTTTGCCGTCGTTCCCGCTGTCCATGTGGCCGAGAAGCTCTTCAGCGACTCGAGCATTGCCATTGTATCGATCTTCTGTGCGAACATCATCATCCCATTGATCACCATGGGCATCATCCTCATCCTGGGCGTCGTTGGAGAGGGCTCTGCGTGGGACAGCTGGCGGCATGGCCTGAACGAGGCCTTCCTCGTCTTTCCCCAGCACGCCCTGGGCGATGGTCTCCTGGAGCTGTGCAAGAACTACATGGTGGCCCTGATCTTCAGGCGGTACGACATCGACTCGTACAAGCATCCGCTGGCCAGCGACCTGCTGCAGCGCCACTTCATCGCCCTGGCCCTGGTGGGCCTCTCGGGACTCGTGCTGAACGTCCTCATCGAGTGTCATCTGCTGCAGCGGCTGTGGAAGCGCCTGGAGCGCCTCCTCGACTGGCACTACCGACGCGAGCTGCAGAAGCTCCAGCAGCTGAAGATCGTCAGCCTGCAGAGCATCTTCAAGAGCTGCGTGGAAGCCGGCGAGGCCCTGCGCGCCGAGAACCTTTGGGTGGCGTACAACCGCGGACGCTACGCCGTCCGTCAGGTGCACTTCGGGGTGAAGCGGGGCGAGTGCTTCGGGCTCCTGGGCAAGAACGGGGCCGGCAAGTCGACCATCTTCAAGGTGCTTACCGGACAGCTGGAGCCCAATGTGGGACACATCCACTTCGATCAGCCGGGGATCTCCTACTGCCCGCAGAGCAATCCGCTGGATCCCCTGCTAACCGTACGCGAATGCATCCTCTTCTACGGCCGCCTGCGGGGCATCCGCCATCTGGATCTGTTGCTCGCGAGGGTCCTGAACACCTACGAGCTGCGCTCGTACCGGGATGTCCAGGTACGGAACCTGAGCGGCGGCAATCGGCGGAAGCTGACGGTGGCCGCCACCTGCTGCGGCCACACGCCCACCGTCCTCATGGACGAGCCCACCAGCGACTTGGATCCGGTGACGCGGGAGTTCGTCTACTCGACCATCGAGCAGCTGCTGGCCGCCCGTCGCGCCGTCGTCCTGACCTCCCACTCGGTCTCCGAGATCGAGCATCTGTGCCAGCGCGTGGCGGTGCTCAAGGCGGGCCAGGTCGTGGCCAGCAGCAGTCCCGCGCGGCTCAAGGCCGAGTATGGGGGCTACTACGGCATCAGCTTCTTCTGCCCACCCGCCCAGCAGGCACTGCTGGCCAAGATGCTGCCGGAGCGGCTACCGGGTGCCTGCGACCTGCAGCACTACGCCCACAGCCTGCGCTTCCTGGTGAAGGTCCGTTCCGGCGGGGACTCCTCCAGCAGTGCGGCCAGTGGACTGCCACTGCCGCTGCTCTCCGAGCTGTTTGCCGCCCTGCGGGACATGTCCGTGGGCATCAGCCGCTTCTCCGTCAACCGCTGCCGCTTTGAGACGGTGTTCGAGAAGATCCTGGACAGCAGCGAGAAGACGTCCTCGAACGGGCTGCAGGAGGACGATGGCCTGCCCAGCAAATCGCCGGCTGTCGGCGGCTCCCTGGCCACCGGCTACATCCACTGCGGCTACGAGGAGACAACCACTTGATTGATTTTACTCTTCCGCACTGCACTGCAATTATGTGTTTAATACGAGTAGTGTTTTTTTTTTTGCTTAGTTAGAGAGTGATGTGTTTTTAATTTTATTTGTGATAAGATCGGACGCGGATCCAGTGATAGTTGTTCTATATTTCTGTTTCCGTTTCTGTTCGGGTATTCTGTTAGACCATAAGAGTTCGGACCAGCAAAAGACCTATTTATTTCGATACTTAATACGATAATATGCAGCTATGCCAATGCCGCCGTTGAACGACCCTCAAACAGGATTCTGTTAGCCAGGCGCAAGTTTTACGAGTACGAGTATGTATATTGTGCAATACCTCTAATATTATGAAGGAGTGTGAACCTATGAATAAAGTGAAAGTAGTAAATGTGAGAGAAGATCTCAAGCTGCAATTTTGGAGTACAGATGGATGCGGGATGCAATGAGCGTACTCCCACAAATACATACATAAGAACAGAACTGTTGCTGTTAATGCTTCCGCTGTTAACAGCACCGGGAGCTGTAACAGTCTGTTAACCTGGGCTGTTAGCAGACCCGTCATCGAGATATTTATAGCCATAAATGCTTCCTTCCATCAATAAAAGCTGCAGCCCATTCCGGTAGCCACCTCCTGTTAATCGGATAATTACCCCCGAATCCTTTGAAAGCCACATAATGCCACCGAATTAGCGCTTCGGATGGAGCCCTGATGCAATTATTGAACTGCTTCTGAGGGAACCCTGAAAAAAACCGAGAGGGTTGCCTTGCAAGCGAACGGATATTTAATTAAGCTGTTCGGGGAAAGTGGCGTTACGCGGCAAAAGTGCAGTCGAAAGGCGGGGATGGGGTCGAAAGCCAAAAAGTAATTAAACCAAAAACTGCTGTAACATTAACCAAAACGTGCCCCAAAAGAGTCTGGCTGCACCCCTCCCTGTCCCCCTCTGTCTATGCCTTTCAATAGACGCTTTTGAAGTATTTTTCCCCTCTTCTATTCCGCAGCAGAACGGAGCGGTAGGGGGTGGGGGTGGCGGTAGGGATTTTGGTGAAAATTCGTTTGCCAAAGCGCTTTTATAATTTGCCTTTTCTCTGCGTTCCTCTCCGTTCTCCTTTCGATGTATTTTTTGTTGCCTTTGCCGCCGCGCTTTTCCTGGTCAATTTGAACAAAAAAGTGAAATGTTTTTCCAAAAGGGGCTTTCGGGCAAAGGATTAAATTAAATTCCATTTGGTTTGTGCTGCTGCTGGGAACTTAACGAACGCAGGTAAAAATTAAATCAGCGAAAAATCAACATAATTAAAAGGGTTCGTTCAGCGTTCAGCGTTCAGGACTCGCCACTCCCCCGCTTCTGGTTTCCCGTTTCCCGTTTCCCGCTCGTTTTCCACATTTGCCCACTTCTCACATTTCGCACATTGCTAAAAAGGCGTCTGCATGTGGGGCCTTACATAACCGAATTATTCGTGGAATGACGCTACCTCTTTTGGGTAGCGCAGAGACAGGAAAATATTTATTTGGCTTAAATAAGAAAAACATGCAGGTACTGCTGATCCGAATACAGCCGCATATCGAAGCCATAAAGAAGGCGTCGGGGCTGACGAATGACGTGACGAATGAAAACGTGTCGGCCTCGCTTAAAGTGCTCCACAACGATCTAACGAAAATAGAGAGTATGGACAAAAGGTCCAATAGCCGGTGGAGGAGGAGTGCCACTGCCTGAGAAACGCCGAATACCATTTGCAAGGAGCCCTGGAGCAGACCCGCTCCACTCTCTTCCTCGCGGGAAAGGAAAATACACCCGCGAGAAGATGTAAAAGATGTAAAAAGATTAACATGCTGTTATCGATCGGCTTAACCGCTCGCGGACACGAGAACGCTGTTAGCTGTAAGCATGTAAGCCCCCAATGTTAGCAGCCGTGAAAATGTACAGTGACGTTCATAAAATAAAGAATAAACATATATGTATGTATATGTACATGTGTAGGATAAATCCCGAGGCGACGTTTTTTTGTTCTATTTTTAGTTTTAATGTTTATTGAATATTTTAATGGATTGTGGCTTATAATTAACATTATTTGTGCAGGAGTGTGTAATTTTCGGGTGGGTTTCAAGTAATATGTGTGTGTAGCTGGCAAAAATCTTCCACATTCCACATATATGTATATATATATATATATATGTATGTACATAGAACTTCGAATTTTCTTGCGGCATGGTTGGATTACTCCTACAAGTTTATCCACCTTCCTACAATCAGATGTCTCCATGAAAGTACGCCCAGGGAGCTAATAGCCCTTGCCAGAAAAACACCTCGATTCTTGAGAACTTTTGCACATACCAATACTGACACCCTCTTCCTGAACCGGTTGCATACTACATCCACGATCCATCCAGCAGTCGGTACATTATTCATTGGCACTTTTTACGACGTGCGACGTATGTGCTTCGCAGGTGCATACATTACCGGCATCGTCTTTCGTCCTGCACCATTCTTTACCTCATCGGCTTTGACCTGGTAAGTTTTCCGTCTTTCTCTCCCTGTTTATCTTTTCCTGTGACTATTTATTCTTGGTTCTGGCCGAGACCGTATTGGCCACAAGTTGCTGTGCCGCGATCCCCTCCTCTGACCCCGCCAGGTAAAGTTATTAAGATATTATTTATTTATCGACTTTATTTAACGCTTTCTTTTATTTTAGCAGGTCGCTCCCTTTTGTGGCCAGCAATACCACATGGACACCATCATCGTCTATCGGGGGCTTCACGCTTCTGGTCTTATGGTCATATTCAGGCTCGTATAAAATACTGTTGTTTTCTGTACGCTATATCTCGTGATCGTTAGAGTCCTAAAAATCGACTGATATTAGAAAAAAGGAACAGAAAAGGATCCCTGCGATCCTGGGACAGTTGATCCTTCTCCGATCTGGACCTATTTGTCTGAGATATAGCTCTGCGAAGATTTGGATTTGCATATCTTCGAAATACTGGTTTTTTCTATACGCTATATCTCGGCTAAGCAGCGGTCGATCTGGGCGTGGCATGTCTTTTCGTGATCAGGATTGTCCTGCAAATCGACTGCCATCAGAAAAAAGGACATTAATTTTTTCACGATTTTCGCAAAAAATCATGATGGTTACATCATTAAATTTGCCAAAAATCGGCCTCATTTTCGAAGTCGAGATTTTGATGCCGTTCGACAGTCTGGATCCTCACGATCCTGGGACAGTTGATCCTTCTCCGATCTGGACCTATTTGTCTGAGATATAGCTCTGCGAAGATTTGGATTTGCATATCTTCGAAATACTGGTTTTTTCTATACGCTATATCTCGGCTAAGCAGCGGTCGATCTGGGCGTGGCATGTCTTTTCGTGATCAGGATTGTCCTGCAAATCGACTGCCATCAGAAAAAAGGACATTAATTTTTTCACGATTTTCGCAAAAAATCATGATGGTTACATCATTAAATTTGCCAAAAATCGGCCTCATTTTCGAAGTCGAGATTTTGATGCCGTTCGACAGTCTGGATCCTCACGATCCTGGGACAGTTGATCCATCACCAATCTGGCTCTATTTGTCTGAGATATAGCCCTGCGAAGATTTGGATTTGCATATATTTGAAATACTGGTTTTTTCTATACGCTATATCTCGGCTAAGCAGCGGTCGATCTGGGCGTGGCATGTCTTTTCGTGATCAGGATTGTCCTGCAAATCGACTGCCATCAGAAAAAAGGACATTAATTTTTTCACGATTTTCGCAAAAAATCATGATGGTTACATCATTAAATTTGCCAAAAATCGGCCTCATTTTCGAAGTCGAGATTTTGATGCCGTTCGACAGTCTGGATCCTCACGATCCTGGGACAGTTGATCCTTCTCCGATCTGGACCTATTTGTCTGAGATATAGCTCTGCGAAGATTTGGATTTGCATATCTTCGAAATACTGGTTTTTTCTATACGCTATATCTCGGCTAAGCAGCGGTCGATCTGGGCGTGGCATGTCTTTTCGTGATCAGGATTGTCCTGCAAATCGACTGCCATCAGAAAAAAGGACATTAATTTTTTCACGATTTTCGCAAAAAATCATGATGGTTACATCATTAAATTTGCCAAAAATCGGCCTCATTTTCGAAGTCGAGATTTTGATGCCGTTCGACAGTCTGGATCCTCACGATCCTGGGACAGTTGATCCTTCTCCGATCTGGACCTATTTGTCTGAGATATAGCTCTGCGAAGATTTGGATTTGCATATCTTCGAAATACTGGTTTTTTCTATACGCTATATCTCGGCTAAGCAGCGGTCGATCTGGGCGTGGCATGTCTTTTCGTGATCAGGATTGTCCTGCAAATCGACTGCCATCAGAAAAAAGGACATTAATTTTTTCACGATTTTCGCAAAAAATCATGATGGTTACATCATTAAATTTGCCAAAAATCGGCCTCATTTTCGAAGTCGAGATTTTGATGCCGTTCGACAGTCTGGATCCTCACGATCCTGGGACAGTTGATCCTTCTCCGATCTGGACCTATTTGTCTGAGATATAGCTCTGCGAAGATTTGGATTTGCATATCTTCGAAATACTGGTTTTTTCTATACGCTATATCTCGGCTAAGCAGCGGTCGATCTGGGCGTGGCATGTCTTTTCGTGATCAGGATTGTCCTGCAAATCGACTGCCATCAGAAAAAAGGACATTAATTTTTTCACGATTTTCGCAAAAAATCATGATGGTTACATCATTAAATTTGCCAAAAATCGGCCTCATTTTCGAAGTCGAGATTTTGATGCCGTTCGACAGTCTGGATCCTCACGATCCTGGGACAGTTGATCCTTCTCCGATCTGGACCTATTTGTCTGAGATATAGCTCTGCGAAGATTTGGATTTGCATATCTTCGAAATACTGGTTTTTTCTATACGCTATATCTCGGCTAAGCAGCGGTCGATCTGGGCGTGGCATGTCTTTTCGTGATCAGGATTGTCCTGCAAATCGACTGCCATCAGAAAAAAGGACATTAATTTTTTCACGATTTTCGCAAAAAATCATGATGGTTACATCATTAAATTTGCCAAAAATCGGCCTCATTTTCGAAGTCGAGATT